TAAGTGATCTTTTTAAAGATCATAAGTACAGGAAGCATTTACAAATGTAAAATATGTTTTATATCAAACTCGTTTTGTTTGATTTGTGTTTTTTTCGTTGTCGATTCTCATTACTTTTTTGTTCCTTCCGCAATATTCTTCTCTAACTATAGTTTCAGCAATGTTTGATTTCCATTCTTAAGTCAAGATCACAAAATCAAAGTATTGGTTTTTTAACTTTTATCTTGTCTTAACCACCTCTCCAATTTTCTTGTGCCTTACTATTTGTTTTCTGGATGTTTTCAATTACCATTATTATATACCTAATGTGTATAAATTTTACTGTTGAATTTACGCTATCCACTCGTGATCCGATTTTCCGGATCACCAACACAAAACACTCTCACTGACGTAGTACGCAGAAATATGACGTTATTTTTCTTGCGCAGTTATTATGCTTTGTTTTATGGATAAATGCTACAATATTTGTTTCATACGTGGATGTCTTCCATACAATTACAATTACACAATACAAATGTTATAATAATATATATTTACCCAATACAAATGGAAACAGATCAAGTATTACCAGGTTTGACATACCATATTGTTTGGGTAGAAAACTGGCGGATTATCAGCGTGACATCGAAATTGTGAATTTATTTAAATCATCAATGATTAATCTAAATTGCCATTTAAAAGAACAATTACAGGGTTGTTGTGCAAACAAACGGAATAATACCCGGTACAACGAGCATAAATGAAAGTCACACTACCAGTGATATTTGGCACAGTATAGCGTTTCTTTAAAAAGAAGGGGGGTTAGGGGTGGTCAGACCTAGCTCTTGATAATCACTTCTTTACCACTGGTGTTTTCATTTCAAGAATATAAAAGGTCTATGTCAACAATTAGCAACTAATACAAAAACCTAATGATCTTTAAATTGCTCTTTTAATCCTCTGATTGTATGATTCTTGTCTTAACTCCAAGGATGAATATAACATTTTTCTTTTATCTTACCTATCACACAGGTCTTATATATCTTTAATATCTTGATAATAAAAAAGAGCCAATGATGCAAAAAAGAAGAATAATCCATTTGTGAAGTACTTTTGAATTCATGCACATTACATGAATCCCTCTGCTCTCCACTATAAATTTCTTCTTTACGGTAATGATTATTCAAAAAATAATTTTTCTCTCATATAAAATTGACAAAATTACAAATGTCTTTGTGGGACTAGATTTAACAGTGGTTACCTTTGAACTCGGCAATCTTATAAAGCAAAAATCATTTATCAGATTTTAAATCAACCTTGAAGCGTTCTCAAATGAGCTCATATCGGTCATATTACTGTTTTAAAAATAATCATTGGCACTTAATAGACCCAAAGTGTGTATTGTATGAGTGTGTTTCTCTTGTTCATTTTCTTGTTAAATAATATTAGTGGACAAAATTTGTTTACGACAGCAGTTAAGTCAAATTGTATTAATGCATATTTATTTGTAAAACATGAGAGATTGTATTTCCTTCATCGAGCTATAACAATTTAAATTGAATGTTAGATATCCTTTATTCAATTTTTTGATACTTGGTTGTGAAGTTTAAAAGGATTTTTAAAAATTTCAAAAGGGAAGACTAACAATCCTTTATAGTAAGGATTCAGTAACATTATACATTGAAAAGAATCATGAAAATCGGGAAAGTCTGAAAATGTATTTATTTAATTGATATTAAAATATGCATACAATGTTTTTAAGAGATTGAGCTTGACAACAAATTATCATACAATTTTGTTTATTAGTTTTCAATTCCTTTTGAAATGCGGTTAGAAAATACCCTGCTAAAAGAATTTTTCAACACCTCGTGAAAAGGAATGCCTCAGCTGACTGATATGTATTACGGTCGTTGTGATGATATTATTTCATCATTGTATGCTGATATCTAGATATTATGTCTGATGCTTAAACTTAATTGGCTCATACTTTGATAGCGTATGCTGGTACTTTATTAAATATATGTATGTTGATACTTTTGCATTTAATGCAATATTAAATATTTAATATTGAATATTTAATTCAATATTATACTCTTAATTTTTGACATCATATCCTTATGTCTGGAAATCATATGTTAATACTGTAACAATATAAGCTGGTACTTGATTAGCTGATTTCTATGTTAAAAAGTCAAAATTGTTGGTATCCAAAGGAAGGTTTTGTAATATAGATAACACATGATAAATATGAAAGCCCGAGTGCTAACTGTTCAAGCGTTATCTCCAAGGTTAATGTTTTTTTAAAGAGGGTCAAACTCTGAGGTCAATGTCAAAAGGTTAAATTGTTTACGCCCATTGAAAGGTATTGTCATCATTTAAGCTGTCATTTATTGATATATCTCATCAGATTTAATCTTGTAGAATGAACTGTAAAAACTATATTTATACCGGGGTATGTGTATTTGTACAATAGAACTTTGTTAGGTTTCTCTATACATTTTCTGACCTGGGTTGCAATGAAACATAGAGATAACGAACTGTATTCATGATCAAAAGTCCATAAAACAATACAATTTAGGAGCAGAGCAAACAAGCACGGACCTCCAAACCATCAGAGGTGAGATCAGGTGTCATGGAGGAGTGAGCTTCTCCTGCCGACTGGTCACATCCGCCGTATGCTCTTTGTCATGAACGGGAAATAACGGAAAAATTTGCCGTCAAATCATATAAATAATGGCCCAACAATTAGTATGAAAGACGTCTGTCAGCATTTGATTCAATGATTAATTGTATTAGCTGACAAGGTCATTGTATCAACCATAGAACTTCCGAAATGATGACTTTGATGACCTGCTGAAATTCTTGTTTCGTCAACTTGTTTGTCAATAATATACCTCGTTGTAGAATTTTTTATAGAACATGCTCTTGCGTGTCGAATCAACTGAGATATATTGACTCCGCATGCAGGCGATGAAGTTATTGGTGCATAAGTAAGGAAATTTGACAATTGTAAAAATAAAGTCATCACGTTTATTAGACTTGGTTGTTGGATTACCATTAACGTCTTTTTCAAGTAAAATATCAAAATTTAAAACAAATGTAACAGACTCTGTAATAAGGAACAGTATTTAAGCTCAAAACTCCATAAAAAGTACAAAATAGGAGCAGGGCAAACACGGACCTCCGAACCATCAGAGGTGGGATCAAGTGCCTTGTAATAATGAGCATCCTCTACCAATTTAAGTTTATTTAATACCTGAAGTAGATATTGAAAATATGCTTGAGTGTCTGATTGGCAATATCTTTATAGTCTTTGGAGATCAAACCTTCATTTCTAACAAAAATTTCCAATAAGCACTATTCCTGACACTTTATTTTCATGCCTTTTTCAAAATTCATTAGAAGAAAATTTATTAAAAAACTTTCACACAAAGAACAAGAAAAATCTTGCTGGGTCTTCAAAAGAATGTCCGATATCGTCGGTGATTTATTGCAAATGGTTTCTTCCATTCATAAGTCGACTCTCTATATCCTAGTGACTGAAACTGTCTTTAAGATGCCAGAGTCAATTTTCCTTATTGACATATAGGACTATTACACTATCTTGCATATGATTTGAGTATTGGATTACATATAATGTTTATCAACTTATTCAGTTCTTAAGAGCTTGCTCTCAATACCATCAATACCATATCAGCCTATACATTTAACTTATAATGCTCATTCTGGTCGACCGGTTTCATTCTTATTCTTAAACTTATGTTTCGGCCTTTTTTTCAATGTTAAGGTTAACTTCCAAAATCGAATAAAGTCTGACTTGGACGACACGAAATTCTCATAAAAAGACGAAGTAAACCTCTAAATAAAAGATTTTTTTGGCTTATATTTGATTTTTTGCATGAATTAGGTTAGACTGTATAATCATTACGATGTAAATTTATAAAGCACTTTAAAATAAAAAAAAGATTATAATGTTAAAAAATTAGTATACTTTGTCTACGTATCAGCAAATAAATATAAAGTATCAGCATATTTATAATAAATTTTAATTGAAGCATTCTATTTTATGATATGCATTTTAAGCATTCCCTTCTTTGAGCCGAAATTGGTGTCACAATTATCGCTAACAGTAAATAAATGATTTGCAAGGTACTTAAAATGCAAACATTTCTAATTTAATACAACACACAATTAGAATCATATAGTAAAATGTTATAGATTAGTACAGAGGAAATACAATGAATAAAAAAAATGGCGGGATAATATTATAATATTTAGTATTTGATTGATCATGAAAAAAATTTCCTAAGTCCAAATTTGCCTTATTGAAAGATAAAGACTGATGAAAATAATATAATTTTTTCCATGGAATTCTTGGTAAGGGCTTAATTAAACATGATCGACCAGGATTGATTTGCAAGGATTTGAGACGCGGAAATGTGATGGCCAGGTTAACGATCCTGACCTTGCCAGAGTTCAAATCATGACAAAAACCAATATCATGGCACGATCAGTGTTACAATCCCGATTTAGTCATGACTGACCAGGATTTAATTATAATAAAATAAATATAAAACTACTGACGAAAATCAATAACTGTTTTCAAAATCTTGAAAGTTCTTATTTCTAACGTTTATTTCTATGGTATATAAATCTTAATTGAAAACTTTAAAAGAAAATCTTATTGAAATATTTAAGTTTTTTTGGTTTCGGCATACATGCTTTCCCTAATGAATGCTTCTAGATTCAAAGGAACTGAATGATGACTGATGGTAAATGTTTACGTACAGAAAGCAAGATTACAAGATCTAATTAGGTGTTTGACTGAAATATTTAAACAGAGGTTCATGGATGCAATTTTAACATTTGGATGCTGTAGATCCAGAGATTAACATAACATGAAATTAAACAAATTCCAACACATTCAATGTATGTAGAGTGTAATGGATAGCTTTGTTTTCCTGCTGTAGATTGTATCCTGAATAAATGAATGATTTATTGATTTTTCTTGTTATTTGTAGACAATGAACGGTGGCTGTAGAATACAGACATGTGTTCTGATAATTGTTTTCTTCACCCTTACCTGCTGTCTCACAGGTAAGTCAGTGTTTGGTGTGTTATAAAGGCTTAACTGGGTGGGGAACAAAGTTTTGTTTGATTGACGTTTAAAGTAATCTTTGTGCATGGGCGTTTGATTTGTTTAACGTAACTGTTTTGGGGGGTTGTGTTAATAGCACCGTTATCATCAATACACAAACTTCGTCTCATTTTTAAAATACTTGTGCATGCTGTTTGTATATTCTTAATTCATGTAACATTTTTCAGAATCACTCGCAAGGATTTAGGAAGTTTGTTGTTTTTGGTCTGCATATCAATGATTACGGAAAATCGATTATATATAGATGTAGTTGTTTCAGTCGACTAGTGATTAATAAAAAAAATAAAGAGCACACTTTCCCTTAGGCTTAACATCAATCGAATATTGAATTTTCGTCATTTATGTAATTGGATATTTTCATCTTGTATATCATTTAAAATGAAACATTGACAACTAAAGCAAATTGACTCGTTTTAAATTTTGTCCAGAAGTATTTTAATTAGCTGATTTTTAAAAAGAGGAATTACAAAGTGTATCCCTAAACGTCATTGATTTCAACATCACATGCATCACACTGCCTTTGAAAAAAGTAGCAAAGTTTTTCACTAGATATACAGAAAAATTATTTTTTTTAGGAATTTTGGAAAATATTTTATTTTTTAAAAGACATTTGATTTCCAAATAAAGATAAAAACATTTACAATGAATACGTATGGCTATATTTCAGTTTTTAATGAAGTAAAAAAGATGAATGTATTATTTTAAGTGTTTTAAATCTTTTATGTTTGGAAATTACTAAGGCCGACAGCTATCAGTTTTGAGGGGTCGACAAAACGCGTTTTGCCCGAGAATATAGCCAATAAATGTTAGGTTATACAATTTACATTTTAATTTTAACAAATCATGAAGTAACCGCACTGCAGGTTCTGTCGAACATATGCAAATAAGATATATTTGACCCCGCAGACCTTGTGATATCTCATCCACAGGTCCATCATCTCACCCTCAAAGAATGAATTTTATTTTACCCATTTAGTAAAACATTGGGATCTTTAGATGTCTTTTAGAATAAAATTATACATGTATGGGACACACTTTTTAAAAGTATAACAGTAATTTTTATTTCAAATGCGCCTTGATATTCAACCATTTAAAACAGAATCACTTTTCTATAAATTTTGAACAAAGGCGCATCAACTACAACAACAGAAGAAATAACTTCTACAGTCACAACTCAACCGACAATAAATGATTCAACACAATCACCAACGACAACCACATCTGATACATCAATAACAAATACAACAGAACCGCCTTCATCAACCACGCCTGATCTGCCAACAACAGATACAACAGAACCCCCCTCATCACCCACACCTGAAGGAACAAAAATAGATACAACAGAACCCTCCTCATCATCCACACCTGAAGGGACAACAATAGTTACAACAGAACCCCCCTCATCATCCACACCTGAAGGGACAACAATAGTTACAACAGAACCGCCCTCATCACCCACACCTGAAGGGACAACAATAGTTACAACAGAACCCCCCTCATCATCCACTCATGAAGGGACAACAATAGTTACAGCAGAACCGCCCTCATCATCCACACCTGAAGGGACGACAATAGATATAATAGAACCCCCCTCATCAACCACACCTGAAACGACACCAATATGTACAACAGAACCGCCCTCATCATCCACACCTGAGGGGACAATAATAGTTACAACAGAACCCCCCTCATCAACCACACCTGAAGGGACACCAATATGTACAACAGAACCGCCCTCATCATCCACACCTGAAGGGACAACAATAGATATAACAGAACCGCCCTCATCATCCACACCTGAAGCGACAACAATAGTTACAACAGAACCCCCCTCATCAGCCACACCTGAAGGGACAACAATAGTTACAACAGAACCCCCCTCATCATCCACACCTGAAGGGACAACAATAGTTTCAACAGAACCCCCCTTATCATCCACACCTGAAGGGACAACAATAGCTCCAACAGAACCGCCCTCATCAACCACTCCTAAAGCGACAACAGATTCAACAGAACTGTCTTCATCAACCACAACTGAAGCGACAACAGATACAACAGAACTGTCTTCATCAACCACACCTGAAGCAACATCAATAGTTACAACAGAACCGCCCTCATCACCCACACCTGAAGGGACAACAATAGTTACAACAGAACCCCCCTCATCAACCACACCTGAAGGGACAACAATAGATATAACAGAACCGCCCTCATCATCCACACCTGAAGGGACAACAATAGTTACAACAGAACCTCCCTCATCATCCACACCTGAAGGGACAACAATAGTTACAACAGAACCTCCCTCATCAACCACACCTGAAGGGACGACAATAGTTACAACAGAACCCCCCTCATCATCCACACCTGAAGGGACAACAATAGTTACAACAGAACCCTCCTCATCATCCACACCTGAAGGGACAACAATAGTTACAACAGAACCGCCCTTATCACCCACACCTGAAGGGACAACAATAGTTACAACAGAACCCTCCTCATCATCCACACCTGAAGGGACAACAATAGTTACAACAGAACCTCCCTCATCATCCACACCTGAAGGGACAACAATAGTTACAACAGAACCGCCCTCATCACCCACACTTGAAGGGACAACAATAGTTACAACAGAACCCCCCTCATCATCCACACCTGAAGGGACAACAATAGTTACAACAGAACCGCCCTCATCATCCACACCTGAAGGGACAACAATAGTTACAACAGAACCGCCCTCATCAACCACACCTGAAGGGACAACAATAGTTACAACAGAACCGCCCTCATCATCCACACCTGAAGCGACAACAATAGTTACAACAGAACCCCCCTCATCAACCACACCTGAAGGGACAACAATAGTTACAACAGAACCCCCCTCATCATCCACACCTGAAGGGACAACAATAGTTTCAACAGAACCCCCCTTATCATCCACACCTGAAGGGACAACAATAGCTCCAACAGAACCGCCCTCATCAACCACTCCTAAAGCGACAACAGATACAACAGAACTGTCTTCATCAACCACACCTGAAGCAACATCAATAGTTACAACAGAACCGCCCTCATCATCCACACCTGAAGGGACAACAATAGTTACAACAGAACCCCCCTCATCAACCACACCTGAAGGGACAACAATAGATATAACAGAACCGCCCTCATCATCCACACCTGAAGGGACAACAATAGTTACAACAGAACCTCCCTCATCATCCACACCTGAAGGGACAACAATAGTTACAACAGAACCCCCCTCATCATCCACACCTGAAGGGACAACAATAGTTACAACAGAACCCTCCTCATCATCAACACCTGAAAGGACAACAATAGTTACAACAGAACCGCCCTTATCACCCACACCTGAAGGGACAACAATAGTTACAACAGAACCCTCCTCATCATCCACACCTGAAGGGACAACAATAGTTACAACAGAACCTCCCTCATCATCCACACCTGAAGGGACAACAATAGTTACAACAGAACCGCCCTCATCACCCACACTTGAAGGGACAACAATAGTTACAACAGAACCCCCCTCATCATCCACACCTGAAGGGACAACAATAGTTACAACAGAACCGCCCTCATCATCCACACCTGAAGGGACAACAATAGTTACAACAGAACCGCCCTCATCAACCACACCTGAAGGGACAACAATAGTTACAACAGAACCGCCCTCATCATCCACACCTGTAGCGACAACAATAGTTACAACAGAACCGCCCTTATCATCCACACCTGTAGCGACAACAATAGTTACAACAGGACCGCCCTCATCAACCACACTTGATGGGACAACAATAGTTACAACAGAACCCCCCTCATCATCCACACCTGAAGGGACAACAATATTTACAACAGAACCCCCCTCATCATCCACACCTGAAGGGACAACAATAGTTACAACAGGACCGCCCTCATCAACCACACAGGAGGCAACAACAGTAGTTACAACAGAACAGACGACTTTGCCTACAGAGTCATCCACAGCAACGGTTACATCAAGTAAACTTCCTCAAAACCTCTGTACATTTTTTCAGTTAAAAATTAAAAATAATAGATGTAGATAACTAACAGTACTCAAGCATAATGTCCATTCATACAATATATACAAATCAGAAGCATAGCACAACATTAACCTTTAAATCATTATTCAGCTGAATGTCTTTGTTCCTTGATTGGCTGAGATGAAAAATTATGGAAAATTACTTGATTTGGTTTACTAACACTTGCCCTAGCAATTGAACAAAAGGATTTATTTCAATTAACGTATAGATTGAGAAGGTTTTGCATGCATCGGATTTTTACTCTGGTGAAGGAACTTTCAGTCAAATAATGGCAAACTAGAAGGGGACAGGGTAAATGGGTAGCCCGTTACCTACACTTTTTCTAAACAAAATGTTTAACGAATAATTGGTAATGAAAGTTCATAATTGAAATTCTACGGAACCAGTTAATGGACCCTAACATTCAACATCTGAGTTTGGGTAATCCTCCTCCTTTGAGGACTGAGTCACCTAGGTAACCTTTTGCTATCTGCTTTGTTCATCGTGCGTTGACATTTAAACACTTTCCGCTTCTTCTCTAGATCTGAAACCACTCAATCAATTTCACTTATTTTTGTATCTAGTATCTATGGGTACAATAAATGTGAAATGTTGAGGCGCCCCAGAACTACACGGAAAATCTAGAGAGAACAAGTTTGGCGCGGTTTCTGATCTCTATAGATCGTCCGTGTAATTCCAGGACGCCTCTACATTTTCATCGTCAGAAATTGGCACTTCCGTTGCTTGCTTGGTATCGAAAACGTATTTGGTTTATCGCACGTTTTATACGACAAGTTCAAATTGACAAACGGTTGAAGGGCGTTATTCAATCATTTTTAAGCTAGATCTTACCCGACACCGGTAGGAAAAGTGTAAATATTGATTAAAATCAAGTATGAACTGAGGCATCACCGGGAATCTAAGATCGCAAGTGTCATACCTCTACTCTTTTTAATACAGTTATTAATATTGCATTTAAAAATCAAAGTACTCAGAAGTACAGAGAGCCGGGCTCATTTACAGAGTAGAATGGATTTCTTACATGAATCACGTTTATGTTCTGATGAAAAAATTATTTTAAAACTATCAATATAAATGATAAGACACTGACAGTAAGTTTTTCAATCCTAATACCACGGTCCGATTTTGTCAGAATCAGAATTAATCTGGTACCGCAGCTGAATGTAAACAAACAAGCCAGTCTGGTTCCCTCTCCTTCTTTACCTCGTATGTAACACTAATTATCAAAAATCCTTACGCTAATGAACTATGTTCTTTGACTTATGAAGTTTTCAAAGTCATTACTACTAATGTTTATTTTATGTAGTTAAACCTTTGTTTATTTTTGTAGCTTTATTTAGCGTTTTTATTATCTCAAAAGCGGTTGAGGGTAAGAACTATATTTTTGCACGTAACTTTAAAATGGCGACTATTGGGTTAACATCCTGCCTTGAACAGGATCACATAATCCGGCAATTGCCCTTTGAGCAATAAGCCCGGCTAAAAAACGTTTTAATTTCAGCGATATTTTTATGAGGGTATTCAGACACACCTAAAACATTTAATATACATAATACACCATCCTGAGACCAAGAGCCTATGTTTATGATGAAGAAAGTTGCCTCCTTCTAAATAATTAATTTCAGGGCCCCTGGGTCAGGGATACGGTGAACCTTGGGGACTATACATATTATGAAAATAAATTGCTTTGAAATCTGCTTTTCTTCGGTATTAATCAACCATTTATGATGAGCGAAGATGCCTTTTCGAAAATTTTGAAATACCTGGTATGTGGTCCCCATGTCAATGGTTCCTGTGTGTGGGTTGTACAACTGGTTATAAGTGGAAATGCTTTTTGTTTTTGTTACTCTGATCTACCTCTGAGCATTAAATAACGAAAGTAGTATGCTTAGTGTATAGTTATGCTAATCAATGGCTTTTCTTTCAAAACTGTGAATTCATGGCCACTGGTTTAATACACGAATAAGGCCTGTCGGCCTCTTGTTTGGTTAGTTTTTTCAATTCATTTCATTTTATTTGTTTTTTCCCTTTCTAGTTCACAATTCACTTTCAGGAACGATCATATACGAGGGTTGATCCAAAAGTTCGTGGAATTTCTTTTTTTTATTATTTATAAGTGAAATTGGTTGAAAATTACGATGAGAATAAAGACAATTGTTGAAAATTTAAATAAAATAATATTTTAAATATTTGTGATAGTATCTCTATGGCAGTTGCCATAGAAACGGATGTTTGGAAATGTGGGGGAGACATCCACGCATTTATTATCATTCTAATTCTTAATACATGAAATGAGTAGAAAACCGCCCCATGTTTTATAGAAAACGAAAATTATATCATTATTACGATTTTTTGATCTTTTATAAACATTTGTGTAAAAGTTTTACTGATTTTACTGGATCTTTTGTTTATTAGTTGATAGTGAATTGCTCATCTTAAGGTTATTAGACGACGTCAAAATTCGGTCATGTCATAAGCTTTGTGAAAATCCCCGGATCACTCTATCTTAAATGCGTATATTATTGACAAAGACTTGTGGAAAATGCATTTAGTTACTGGTTTTCCAGTGGCGTAGGTAATTAAAGAAAAAAAAGAACTTTCATGGACGTTGATTAAAAGTGTGGCCGCCTTTTTGAGGCTCTGTTTTAAGTGTTGATCCCCCTAGACAAATTAATAGCGTTAATAGACGTTGTAAGCTGACGTACTGTTCTTGACATTGCTGAAATCGGAACAACATATGGAAAGATGGGGGGGTTTCTGAAATATGATTGAAAAATGAAGATACGTTGGTGCGATATGATACCCATGCAGGCTTTTCTTGAGAAAAAATGGAGAAAAGGACAGCGTTTTGTAGAATTACGTGTTCGAATTGGACATTAGGGAGAGATGCTTCTTTAACGTGACGTGACATACCAAACTTGACGTTACGCCGAAGTCTCCCCGGGTTTAACAACTTCCCATTTTCAGAAAGCTCGTGTGACCTTATTGGTAATTGGAACGTGGTGAAATTTTCCAGTATTGTTGCATTATGACTCTATTTTATAAGTATGCCTATTGTTTGCTTTTATCAAATGACGTTAAAATTTTAGAAAGAAATTCCAGGAACTTTTGGATCAACCCTCGTTTAGCTTACTTTTTGTTGTCTACATTGCATCTAAAACGAATTTATAAATTCTAATAATAACAAATATTTAGAGTTAACTCTGCTTTTTTCATTGTGTTTGTCAAGGGCTTCAGTAAGATTGCATTATATCTTATATATCACTTATAAGTTTATATTATATATTATATAATTGTTGAATGTATATTAAAGGGATTATCTGAGGTTAAAACGATGTTTGGACCTCAAAAAAGAGAAATTTTATGATGCACATTATTGAGATTCAAACATTTAAACACAAACTGTTATAATTTGAAAAAAAAACCTTTTGTACTACTCCCTACCTTATTCTAACATTTAATTTAAATATAACATTTCCCTTTGGATAAAAGCATAAAGATACTTTATGTTAAAATCTTAAATTTTCAAACTTTTCAGATTTTGATGGTACGACATTTTCTGGGAGCCTTAATATAAGTGCTCCGTGTAACGAGTCTGAAGAAGAAGGTGACAGAACAAGAATGCATGCAACAGTAACTATTTCAAAATATATTATTAACCAATGTTTGCGCGACTGAAAATGTACCATTCAATGTATCTGTATATAAAATGTATTTTAAAAATGTTTAAGAAGTATCAAGTATTTTTAAATTTGATTACAGCTGACAGATATCTTCAGTAACATATCAGGATTTTTAGGACTAAATGTAACTACTGACAGATCGTAAGTATTGCTTAAGCAATGACTGAAAAGACAAATAACACAATATTAGTTGTGGTATATGTTCTGATATACTTTTTTCACTTTGGTGATTTAAAACAATGCTGCATGAATATTCTGTTTGTTGAGAGAAGATATCAATTATCACATTTGATTATTTGACAGATGTCCTACCATCAGCTCCGATTTTTCAGTAGTGGTTAATGAAACGACAAGTAAAGAAGCCCAAAGCGATTTCTCTCTGACGATACATAAGCTGTTAACAAATCAACTGAACTTAACATATAATGGGCAGCAGTACACGGTGGATGAAGTAGCTATTATAGCTTACGATGGACAAGAACAAAGTGAGCTTTTTGATCTTGCTTTTAATATATTGTTAATATTTAAAATCTAAAAAAAAACATATTATTTATATACAGCAAGAAACATTTGTTGATAAATAATATGACATCTATTTAAGATAGCTCCTTGTGTTAAATTGATTTCTTAATTGACAGGATTTACAAGTACATCTGACCCCTGTGAGATTTTTATAGCCATAAAATCCTGCTCTTTTGGAGAATGCACTCGTGTCGGAAATGATTTGCAATGCATGTAAGATTCTTGGTTAATTTATATACCGGTATATCGAGATTAATCTATTTTATTTTGTATAAGGGACTGTAAATAAGGATCTGTAACTAAATTGATCTGAAATAATATATATTTCCTGTAGGAACGTGACAGCAACAACAGATATGTCAACATCTTCAGAATACATAACAACAACTGAACTACCGTTAACCACATCAACCGAACCAACAACAATAACAACAGCTGAGAGTTTAGCAACCTCAACAGAGTCATTTGATACAACAACTATAGATGTTTCTACCACAGAATCATCTACGACAATGATAACAGATGGTAACACCATGTCGACAGAAACACTTACAACACCGACAGATGGGTTAAGTTCTCCCACAGATTCGTCTGAAGCGACAACAGTAGATAATTTAACCCCATCTACAGAACCACCTACAACAACTATACCAAGTATCCAAACTACATTCATAGACCCATCTACAACTGCAGTAGATACTTCAAGTATATCTATTGAAACAACTATAATAATAACAACTGATGATTTTTCAACCAGCACCGAAACGGCTGGGACTACAACTCCAAATTCATCCACAGAACCATCTACTTACACAACAGAACTGTCTTCATCAACAGTAACTCAGTTGCCAACAACTTTATCTACTGAACAATCTATAGCTACTACAGGTTACCACTGCATATGTTCATGTTCTTTTTTATCATTACATTGATAACAATAAAACTACTATTTGTACAGTACTATTTGTAGACAAAATCACAAAACTCATTATTTTACAGATATTCGTGATGTTTACATGAATTAGGACTTACGGTATTTACAATGTATTATATATTAAAACGTAATCTATCAAATTCATGAATCTCAAACTTTTCAGGTCTTAATGGGACGACATTTTCTGGAAGCCTAAATATAAGTGCTCCATGTAACGAATCTGATAAACCAGGCGACAGAACAAGAATGCATGCAACGGTAACTAGTTCAAAAATAAATTTCTAACCAACGTTTGCGCGACTGTTTTGTAAACGGAAACTGTACCAATCAATAATTTTTTTTATAAAATGTATTTTCAAAAATGTTAAAGAAGTAAATAGTATTTTTAAATTTGATTACAGCTGACAGATATCTTCAGCAATTTACCAGGATTTTTAGGACTAAATGTAACTACTGACAAATCGTAAGTATAGGTTAATCAATGGATGAAAAAGATATATAACTGTTACACAATTATATATTTTGATATTTATTTCACTTTGGTGAGTTGTAATAATTCTGTATGAGTATTCTGTTTGTTGAGAGAAGATATCAATTATCACATTTAATTATTTTGACAGATGTCCTACCCTCAGTGCCGATTTTGCAGTAGTGGTTAACAGAACGACAAGTAAAGAAGCCCAAAGCGATTTCTCTTTAACGATACATAAGCTGTTAACAAATCAACTAAACTTAACATATAATGGGCAGCAGTACACAGCAGAGGAAGTAACTATTATAGATTACGATGGACAAGCACAAAGTGAGCTTTTTATCTTGCTTTTAATCTCTAGTTTATATTTAGAATCTAAAAAATGCATTTTATTTTCTATATAGCCAGTAACATTACTGATAAAAAGTATGCCTTCTATTTAAGATAGTTTCTAATTTAAAACTAATTTACTTATTGACAGAATTTACAAGTACATCTGGCCCATGTGAGATTTTTATAGTCATAAAACCCTGCTCATTTGGAGAATGCACACGTGTCGGAAATGATTTGCAATGCATGTAAGACTCTTTGTTGATTTTTATGTAATGAGATTAATTTAGTTTCATTTTGTATATCAAAATGACTATGAATAAGGGCCCATGACTGAATTGATCTGAAAAAATATGTCTCCTCTAGGAACGTCACAGCAACAACAGATATGTCAAATTCTTCACAATACACAACAACAACAGAAAGTTCAACGGAACCACCGACAACAGCTACACCAGAGAGTTCAACGGCGCCTACAGAACCACCAACAACAGCTACACCAGACACTTCAACGGCGCCTACAGAACCACCAACAACAGCTACACCAGAGAGTTCAACGGCGCCTACAGAACCACCGACAACAGTTACACCAGAGAGTTCAACGGCGCCTACAGAACTACCGACAACAGCTACACCAGAGAGTTCAACGGCGCCTACAGAACCACCAACAACAGTTACACCAGAGAGTTCAACGGCGCCTACAGAACCACCGACAACAGCTACACCAGAGAGTTCAACGGCGCCTACAGAACCACCAACAACAGCTACACCAGACACTTCAACGGCGCCTACAGAACCACCAACAACAGTTACACCAGAGAGTTCAACGGCGCCTACAGAACCACCAACAACAGCTACACCAGAGAGTTCAACGACGGCTACAGAACCACCGACAACAGTTACAACAGAGAGTTCAACGATGGCTACAGAACCACCGACAACAGTTACACCAGAGAGTTCAACGGCGCCTACAGAACCACCAACAACAGTTACACCAGAGAGTTCAACGACGCCTACAGAACCGCCGACAACAGTTACACCAGACACTTCAACGGCGCCTACAGAACCACCAACAACAGTTATACCAGACACTTCAACGGCGCCTACAGAACCATCAACAACAGTTACACCAGACACTTCAACGGCGCCTACAGAACCACCAACAACAGTTACACCAGACACTTCAACGGCGCCTACAGAACCATCAACAACAGTTACTACAGAACCATCGACAACAGTTAAAAGATTTAGAGACATTAGAACCATCAACAACAGTTACACCAGACACTTCAACGATGGCTACAGAACCACCGACAACAGCTACACCAGAGAGTTCAATGACGGCTACAGAACCACCGACAACAGTTACACCAGAGAGTTCAACGATGGCTACAGAACCACCGACAACAGTAACACCAGAGAGTTCAACGGCGCCTACAGAACCACCAACAACAGTTACACCAGAGAGTTCAACGACGCCTACAGAACCACTGACAACAGTTACACCAGAGAGTTCAACGACGCCTACAGAACCACCAACAACAATTACACCAGAGAGTTCAACGGCGCCTACAGAACCACCAACAACAGTTACACCAGAGAGTTCAACGGAGCCTACAGAACCACCGACAACAGTTACACCAGAGAGTACAACAGAACAATCTACAATTACTACAGGTTATTATTTTACATTACTCCTGTCAATACGATCGAATATAAAATACAAATGTATAACGAACAGTATTTGGTTAAACTTGGGAGCATAGAATTGGTATTACTTAACCATTACTAGATTTGATTACATACCCGCAACGTTTATTTTCAAGTGAACATTTTTGTCTTGTTATTCATTTTATAATTACATTTTAGGATTTTTTAAATAGATCTTCTACATAAACAGCCGTCGTATCATTGCGTTGTTTACGCAGTGACTTAGACTTGAAAGTTGTTAGGTCATGAAAAATCGACTAGCTCCAACATTTGAATGTTCCCATTGATGTTAAGAAACAAATCACGAAATATTGTTAAATAAGGTAGAGAAAAAATAATTGATATTGATATTGAGAATTGGCGTAAATCAAAAATCACAAAGAATAAATAGCAGTTTCTTTATAAGTTTGATGCTTTCCACTATTACCTGTTACCACTGTTACCTGTCCACTATTACCTGTTAACCTTACTAACAACTCAAGTTTCTTCATCCAAAATTGAAAAAAAAAGATTGGCATTATCTTTTTAGAATCAATTATAACCAAAAAGGCACTGATTGATAGCAATCCCTATAACTGATTGACATAATAAATTCCTGTTAGTAGCCCGATGGAATATACCAGGGTATTATTCAAATCATTCTAATGGACAACTATTAACGACGTTCGATCCTGATTTTTAAAGTCTTAAACTTTTTTTGCCAAGTATATTTTTAGTTTCTACATACATAGCTTAATTAAAATTCAAATAAAAAAAAAATGGGTGTCAGTACACTTCTTTTGGCGCTATAGTACAATTAATATGACCTTTATGCACTGAAATTTGTGTCTTAATTAAAAATTAAATTTTTGACGTTTTCCCTACAATATTTTTATCCAATTAAAGCATGAAACAAAATGAACTCTAAGTTTGTTTAAAAAAAACACTTTAAAATTGTGACTAAGAAAAAGTTTCAAATTGCTTCGCATAATCAATTATTTGACCTTTCTACACTAATAAAAAGTGATTTTTCTGGCATTGAAAATTTAATAAGCAAGAAAATTATTTTAAAGTCTTAAACGTTTTCTAATTTTAAGCAAATAGGTCAGATTTATCTTGAATATATAGAAAAGGACATCAAAAGTGGGGGTATATGATGTAAATTTTTAGATATTACTAAAAAAGTTTCAATTTTAAGTTAAAATTGGCTCAATTTTACCACGGATTTTCAGAATATATTTACTATATTTGCCTTACTTTGTTGAAAGAATTCAGAAATAATTAAATAGATATTCAGAACCAGCATAGCACATTTCACTGCAAAAAACAGCTTTGTGTGCAACCAGGATGGAAAAATAGGAATCCAAAATTAACAGTACTGTTATAGTTAAAAATCGAAAAATTGATCATTTTCGTCTGAAAAACCTTCCGCCACAAAATATAGTCCCTAGCTTAATTCTACTTGAATGGAATTTAATCGCGGTTTTTTCATTGAATATGGTTAAATTTGCACTGTAGAATTCAGATTTAATATTAGAATTAAAAAATGATGCAGAATTTTAGAAATAAAGGACCTGACCAAAATAAGCTCAAATTCTCAGGATCGAACGTCTTTAAGTAAACACGGACTGTAATTCATGTATTTGGAGCGATGAGCAATATATTATTCAAAAAAGTTGTTGAAGACGATTTCGGCATTAAACTTTTTTTTCAGATCCAAATGAAGTGACATTTTCTGGAACTGTGAAAATTAGTGCTTCATGTAATCAGTCTGATGAAACAGGTGACAGATTAAAAATGCAGACAGCGGTAATTATCTAATTTTATGATTAATTAATATAAAATCTTTGATATTTTCAAGCTATATGTTAAATTTGATACTCTTGAGAATACATTACATAAACATTTTAGCTGACAGAGATCTTTAATACTACGCCAGGATTTAAGCGATTGGAGGTTGTTTCCAGACGGTGAGTACAGAACTTTACAATCTTCTAGACTGGAGAAGTGAATGGGTATAAAAGAAAAGAAAATAATCCTAATTTTCATGCTCTTCAATTTCCACTTGACGGTTTCTATATGGACGTTTATACATTATGTGATTTTATGAGGACAGAAGTTAGATCTTTATCAAGAATTGCTTACGTAATGAACAAGTAACATGCTCAAACTTCAGTTGAAGAAATATCTTAGTATAAGCTCTTAAAATATTACAGGTGGGATAAGGTGCCCTGGATGATAAATAAATACATTGTACATTGTCGGCGATCACACCTGCATTCATTTAATAAACTTTAATCCTATGGTTGAATACATATTTGAGAATCTTTCATTTTAAATAGCTTTCATCTTAAGACCAATGCTTTCCGTTTCATTTAAATTTTAGATATATTTAAAAAATATGTTGGTATCTTCTTGAGCAGCAAGGTTGCAATAGGGCCAAAAGAAAATTCTTAAGGTCAAGATCTAGTAAATGAAAGGTGCCTACAGATTAATCAGACATGAGAAATAAATCTTTTATTGATGCTTTTCAACTTAAGCTTGGTCAAATAAGGTGTTTTGGGGCATAATTTGTAGGTAAACAAGGTGAAACACCGTATCTTAAACTGTCATTTTCAATGAAAAATTAAGAAAACCAGTCATGAATATGGGAGTTTTTTCCGTATTTGGCAAAGGAAATGTATCCAGATTGCCTACAGTCTCTCAGAAAATGGTAACTAGTATGTTCATGGCCTCTTCTTTAAATCAATATCAAATTTAATATAAGTATCCGGTTTACTTTTCATATAATTTCAAATTGAATGACATGGAAATACCCCATTTTCTACATAATTCTGCTAAAGCCGTAAATTACGGGAAAAAGAAAGTTGAAATTGATTATGACGTCATAATGGATCTAGCACCAAAAGATTAGTCCCCACTTATTTATTAGATCTTGACCTTAAGACCAGATACAACATGGATTCTATTTAAACTGATTTTCAAAGGAGAAAAGTAGAAAGAAAAAAAATAAGTTCTTCTGACAATGAATTTAAATGTTCAGGCATGCCTTCCTAAAGTAATAAATCAAATTAAAAAAAAACGTCACTTGTTTATGATAGTGCCAGAAATTGCAATATTTTTGTTTATTTTATTAGATGCTCTTCCATTTATGCCGATTTTGCTGTAGTCATAATTAAAACGTTTAGTAAAGAAGCACAGAGCAAATTCTCTCTGACGATACTCATGCTGTTAACTTATCAACTAAACGTAACATATGATGGAAAGCAGTACACAGTGGATGAAGTTAGAATAACTGATTACAACGGAGTATCACAAAGTGAGCAAACTTTAAAAATATCTCTGAAGAACTTTTTATTTTTCCTTTTGACAAATATAAGAGCTATTGTTTCATATCTCATAAGTTTCAAATATTGATAGTGCTTTATTCGAAAACAATATCTTGATTAACAGCGCTTACAAATACACTTGAACCCTGCGAGATCTTTACGTTCATCGAACCTTGTCCTTATGGAAATTGTACTCAGATTGGAGACACTCTTGAATGCATGTAAGTTATTTAATTTATGTTACAATCTGTGCATTAATTAAGCTGCATTTCAAGTAAAATATTTCTTTGTTTGATGTATCTTATGAAGTGATAAATAAATTATATGAACTTCATGTAAACAATATCTGTTTTCCCGTAGGAACATGACAGCAACAACAGGTATGTCAATTTCTCCAAAATATGTAACAACAAATGAACAGCAATTTAAACAACCCACAACAACTACCTTAGAACTTTGAATAATAATCATTATAAACTACATTATTTATTACAAATACGATTTTAATTTAATACATGCATTTATTTTGCGTGATTTTAAAGTTATTTTAATTCTAACGATTAATGTTTATGAGGGATTCAGACAGACTTGTCGTTAAATAAATAATTAATAGTCGTATCAAATAATGATGTTATGAAGTTGGGTTTACAGAATAGATTATTAGGACTTTGATGAATTTAGAAAATCAACCTGAATAAGTTTTTTTTGCTTTTATTACTGAAAACATCTTTTAATTGCTTTCATTGACAACAAAACCAACAATAGCATCAACTTCAAACTCATAGAAAACATTTTAACAGAATTACCAGTAACATCAACTCAAGAAATACCATCAACAACAGAAATGGCTTCAACAGCAACAACAGAATCGCCAACATTATCGACAACAGAGTCAGGAACAACATCAACAACAGATGGATCAGGAACATCCACAACAGAGAAACAAACATCATTAACAACTATATTACCTGAAACTTCTACAGCAGAGTCGTCTTCTACCACAACATCGACAGAAATGGCAATAACAACATCAGAAGAGACTGATACTGCCACCACCACCACTCAGCCACCTGCTACAACTACCACATTAGAACAGCCTACAAACTCCACATCTTTAGACCTGGTTGCTACCACAACCATCGGACAGCCACCTTCTTCAACCATTACATCAGAAGAGCCTATTACTATCACAACTGCAGAGCTGGAAACTACCAGCACCACACAACAACCTATCACAACCACCACAACAGAGCAGTCGTTAACTACCCCCACTTCAACAGAACCATCAACTACTTCCACCTCAACACAGTCGCCATCTACAACAAGCACAACAGGGTCGACGACTACAACAAGCACAACAGAGGCGACGACTACAACAACAACAGCAGTGGATACCACAACAGAAACCACGGCAGTGGATACCACTACAACAACCACAGCAGTGGAGTCCACTACACCAACCACGTCAGTGGATACCACTACAACAACCACAACAGTGGATACCACTACACCAACCACAGCAGTGGATACCACTACACCAACCACGGCAGTGGATACCACTACAACAACCACAGCAGTGGAGTCGACTACACCAACCACAGCAGTGGATACCACTATACCAACCACAGCAGTGGAGACGACTACAACAACCACAGCAGTGGATACCACTACACCAACCACGGCAGTGGATACCACTACACCAACCACAGCAGTGGAGACGACTACAACAACCACAGCAGTGGATACCACTACAACAACCACAGCACTGGATACCACTACAACAACCACAGCAGTGGAGTCCACTACAACAACCACAGCAGTGGAGTCCACTACAACAACCACAGCAGTGGAGTCCACTACCACTACTACAACACAGCCACCTACAACTACCACCACAACGCAACCACCGACCACTACCACCACACAAGCACCAACAACAAGAGAACCTACTGTTAATGGTATTCCCCTTCTATATTTGTTAAAGCTTTTTACTAGAAAATAGAATGTTTGATATACTGTATAAAATAGTTTTTCTCACAATAGAAATGACTTAAAGGGAAAGTGAAAAAAAAATATGTACAGTATTTTAAATGAGTATCTGTTAGGAATATCCGCGAAGCAAACAGGAACACATCATTCAAATTTTATTTACATGTATAACTGAATGTCTCAAAATAAATCTTAACCGAAGTCTATTTATGAAATATTTTAATGCATGGAATTCTGTCTTTGCAATGTTCTTTATAGCTAAAGAAATGTCTTTTAACATTTGAAATCCCCTCCCTTCAAAGTATGAAAAAACATAAGATCTATATTAGTATTTAAAGTATTATTCTAAAATATACCTTTTAAATTAAATTTTAATAAGAAATACATATAACTGGTGCATTCATTCGTGTTATATACTTGAGACTAGATTTGTTTTTGTATAATATGATTGCCTATATTGATCAGATTTAAAGAAATGTTTTGGGTATATAGAATTTTTGGTGAATTTAGAGACAATTTTTGTCCGCCTTTTCAATTATTCAATTGTTGATTTTCAGATCCTCTAGGTTGCACTACATGAGGTCGAATTCTTAACATGTTGTAGAATTTATAAAAGTCTTGATGAATTACATCGTTGGTAGTTGGTCTAAGATGATTAATAGTCCTTGCATGAAACAAATTAAGAAAAAATCTATATAAAAAAAAGATTACACAAAAAAACATGTTTTTGTACAGAACCACTCCCGTTTAGTGCCACGGAAGACTCTGTTATTACTGGGGATGACATCACTTCCCCGCGTCTTACATCTCCTATGACACTACAAATTGGTGACGGAACAATGGGTGGATTTAACTATGTTGTAGTAAGTAAAATATTAAATACAATGAAAAATTGCTTTACTGGCCTAGAAAACTATTTATGTAACTACCTTTTATTGATAATTCCTGACATATGCTGATATAATACTGTTGGTGCTGAGAAATTAAACCACCGTTTAAAAAGCTGGGTAGGAGTCCGTCTGTCTGTATGTCAGTCCATCTGTCCGGTACACTTTGGGGTACCCATTTTTTATCCAAAACCCTCTTTAACTATTAAATGAAATTTAATGAGACAATGACAAAATTTTCGTTACATAGTGTCACTCTGCACCTCCTATTTTACATTTTGATCTGGAAATTATTTCGGGTTTTCCATATCAAAAAATAAACACTGTTATTCTTTCTAAAATATCGATGGGAATCCAACTTTTATCCGCAACCCTCTATATCACGGATTAAAATTAAATGATACTTTTACAGATTCCGATATTACATAGTGCAATTGTGCTCGTCTTTTTTTTTTTAGTTACCTGAGTAACTATCCGTTTTTGTCCGTCGTCGTCCGTCGTTCGTCGTCCATCGTGTGTTAACATTTGAACATTTTCAGCTTCTCCTCTTAAACCACTGAACCATTTTCAACCAAATTTAGTATACAGCATTTATGGGAAAAGAGGAACAAAAATTATTTATTTCATGGTCCCTGCCCCTTTGGGGCCTTGGGGGTAGGGCCAAACCAATAAAATTATTGCAATATTTAAAAATCTTCTTCTTTACTACGGGACATCAAGCAGGCAAACTGTTGGCATGAATGTATTGAGCATTGAGTCCTCTACCAAAATTATGAAATTCATGGCCCCTGGGTCAGGTGTTCTCGTGCTAGGGCGAGGCTTTATAAATTATATAGTGAAAATGCATTATTTCTTTGAAAATCTTTTTTTCTGCTCCTGGGTATTATATAAACTAACTAAGCACATAGTTATGATGAGCAGAGTGCCTCTTAAAAAATTATGAATTTTATGGCCCCGGGGTCAGGGGTTCTGGTGTCAGGGCGGGGTTCTATTGATTATATAGTGAAATGTATTATTTCTTTGAAAATATTCTTTTCTGCTCCTGGGTATTATATAAACTAACTAAGTCCATAGTTATGATGAGCAAGAGTGCCTCTTCCAAAATTGTGAATTTTATAGCGCCGGGGTCCGGGGTTCTGGTGTAAGGGCGGGGCTCTATTGATTATATAGTGAAAATGCATATATTCTTTGAAAATCTTCTACTCTGCTTCTGGGTATTAAATTAACTAACTAAGCACATAGTTATGATGAACAAGAGTGCCTCTTCCAAAATTGTGAATTTTTTAGCCCCAGCTAGGGTCAGAGCTTCTAGTCCTAGGGAGAGGCTATATAGATTATTTAGTGAAAATGCATTATTTATTTGAAAATCTTCTTTTCTGCTCCTGGGTATAATATAAACTAACAAAGTACATAGTTATGATGAGCAAGAGTGCCTCATCCAAAATTGTGAATTTTATGGCCCCGGGGTCAAAGGTTCTGGTGTTAGGGCGGGGCTCTATTGTTCATGTAGTTAAAATGCATTTATTCTTTGAAAATCTTCTACTCTGCTTCTGGGTATTAAATTAACAAACTAAGCACATAGTTATAATTAGCAAGGGTGCCTCTTTCAGAATTATGAATTTTATGGCCCCGGGGTCAGGGGTTCTAGTGCTACGGAGGGACTTTATCGATTATATAGTGAAAATGCATTATTTCTTTGAAAATCTTCTTTTCTGCTCCTGGGTATAATATATACTAACAAAGTACATAGTTATGATGAACAAGAGTGCCTCATCCAAAATTGTGAATTTTATGGCAACGGGGTCAAGTTAACTGGTGTTAGGTCGGGGCCCTATTGATTTGAAGTGAAAATGCATTTATTCTTTGAAAATCTTCTACTCTGCTTCTGGGTATTAAATTAACAAACTAAGCACATAGTTGTGATGATCAAGAGTGCCTCTTCCAGTATTGTGAATTTTATGGCCCCTGGGTCAAGGTTTCTAGTGCTAGGGCGGGGCTCCATTGATTATATAGTGAAAATGCATTTATTCTTTGAAAATCCTCTACTCTGCTTCTGGGTATCAAATTAACTAACTAAGCACATAGTTACGACGAGCAAGAGTGCCTCTTCCAAAATTGTCAATTTTATAGCCCCAGTATCAGGGCTTCTAGTGCTAGGGAGGGGCTATATAGATTATTTAGTGAAAATGCATTATTTATTTGAAAATCTTCTTTTCTGCTCCTGGGTATAATATAAACTAAGTACATAGTTATGATGAGCAAGAGTGCCTCTTCCAAAATTGTGAATTTTATGGCGCCGGGGTCAGGGGTTCTGGTTTTAGGGCGGAGTTCTATTGATTATATAGTTAAAATGCATTTATTCTTTGAAAATGTTCTTCTCTGTTTCTGGGTATCAAATTAACAAACTAAGCACATAGTTATGATGAGCAAGAGTGCCTCTTTCAATATTGTGAATTTTATCGCCTCGGAGTCAGGGGTTCTGGTATTGAGCCGGGGCTCTTTTGATTTGAATTGAAAATGCATTTATTCTTTGAACAAGAGTGCCTCTTCCAGTATTGTGAATTTTTGGGCCCTAGGGTCAGGGGTTCTTGTGCTAGGGAAGGGCTATATAGATTATGTAGTGAAAATGTATTATTTCTTTGAAAATCTTCTATTCTGCTCCTGGGTATTATATAAACTAACTAAGTACATAGTTATGATGAGCATGAGTGCCTCATCCAAAATTGTGAATTTTATGGCAACGGGGTCAAGTTAACTGGTGTTAGGTCGGGGCCCTATTGATTTGAAGTGAAAATGCATTTATTCTTTGAAAATCTTCTTCTCTGCTTCTGGGTATTAAATTAACTAACTTAGCACATAGTTATGATGAGCAAGAGTGCCTCTTCCAGTATTGTGAATTTTATAGCCCCAGGGTCAGGGCTTCTAGTGCTAGGGAGGGGCTATATAGATTATTTAGTGAAAATGCATTATTTATTTGAAAATCTTCTTTTCTGCTCCTGGGTATAATATAAACTAAGTACATAGTTATGATGAGCAAGAGTGCCTCTTCCAAAATTGTGAATTTTATGGCCCCGGGGTCAGGGGTTCTAGTGTTAGGGCGGGGCTCTATTGTTCATGTAGTTAAAATGCATTTATTTTTAAAAATCTTCTACTCTGCTTCTGGGTATTAAATTAACAAACTAAGCACATAGTTATGATGAGCAAGGGTGCCTCTTTCAGAATTATGAATTTTATGGCCTCGGGGTCAGGGGTTCTAGTGCTACGGAGGGACTTTATCGACTATATAGTGAAAATGCATTATTTCTTTGAAAATCTTCTTTTCTGCTCCTGGGTATTATATAAACTAACTAAGTACATAGTTATGGTGAGCAAGAGTGCCTCTTCCAAAATTGAGAATTTTATTGCCCCGGAGTCAGGGGTTCTGGTATTAAGCCGGGGCCCTATTGATTTGAAGTGAAAATGCATTTATTCTTTGAAAATCTTCTTCTCTGCTTCTGGGTATTAAATTAACTAACTTAGCACATAGTTATGATGAGCAAGAGTGCCTCTTTCAATATTGTGAATTTTATCGCCTCGGAGTCAGGGGTTCTGGTATTGAGCCGGGGCTCTTTTGATTTGAATTGAAAATGCATTTATTCTTTGAACAAGAGTGCCTCTTCCAGTATTGTGAATTTTTGGGCCCTAGGGTCAGGGGTTCTTGTGCTAGGGAAGGGCTATATAGATTATGTAGTGAAAATGTATTATTTCTTTGAAAATCTTCTATTCTGCTCCTGGGTATTATATAAACTAACTAAGTACATAGTTATGATGAGCATGAGTGCCTCTTCCAAAATTGTGAATTTTATGGCAACGGGGTCAAGTTAACTGGTGTTAGGTCGGGGCCCTATTGATTTGAAGTGAAAATGCATTTATTCTTTGAAAATCTTCTTCTCTGCTTCTGGGTATTAAATTAACTAACTTAGCACATAGTTATGATGAGCAAGAGTGCCTCTTTCAGTATTGTGAATTTAATAGCCCCAGGGTCAGGGCTTCTAGTGCTAGGGAGGGGCTATATAGATTATTTAGTGAAAATGCATTATTTATTTGAAAATCTTCCTCTCTGCTTCTGGGTATAATATAAACTAAGTACATAGTTATGATGAGCAAGAGTGCCTCTTTCAAAATTGTGAATTTTATGGCCCCGGGGTCAGGGGTTCTGGTGTTAGGGCGGGCACTATTGATTATATAGTTAAAATGCATTTATTCTTTGAAAATCGTCTACTCTGCTTCTGGGCATTAAATTAACAAACTAAGCACATAATTATGATGAGAAAGAGTGCCTCTTTAAAAATTATGAATTTTATGGCCCCGGGGTCATGGGTTCTAGTGCTAAGGAGGGGCTTTATCGATTATATAGTGAAAATGCATCATTTCTTTGAAAATCTTCTTTTCTGCTCCTGGGTAATATATAAATTAACTAATTACATAGTTATGGTGAGCAAGATTGCCTCTTCCAAAATTGTGAATTTTATGGCCCCGGGGTCAGGGGTTCTGGTATTGATCCGGGGCTCTATTGATTTGAAGTGAAAATGCATTTATTCTTTGAAAATCTTCTTCTCTGCTTCTGGGTATTAAATTAACTAACTAAGCACATAGTTATGATGAGCAAGAGTGCCTCTTCCAGTATTGTGAATTTTATGGCCCCAGGGTCACGGGTTCTTGTGCTAGGGAGGGGCTATATAGATTATGTAGTGAAAATGCATTATTTCTTTGAAAATCTTCTACTCTGCTTCTGGGTATTAAATTAACTAACTAGGCACATTGTTATGATGTAGTTTCTTCTTCCAGTATTGTGAATTTTATAGCGCTAGGGCCAGGGTTTCTGGTGTAAGGGCTGGGCTCTATTGATTATATAGTGAAAATGCACTTATGCTTTGAAAATCTTCTTCTCTGCTTCTGGGTATAAAATAAACTAAGTACATAGTTATGATGAGCAAGAGTGCCTCTTCCAAAATTGTGAATTTTATGACCCCAGGGACAGGGGTTCTGGTGTTAGGGTGGGGCTCTATTGATTATATAGTGAAAATGCATTTATTCTTTGAAAATCTTTTCCTTTGATCCTGGGTTTTATGCTAATGATCCAAGTACATATATTTATGATGAAGAAAGGTGCATCTAGCAAAATGATTATTTTTTATGCCCCCCCCCCCCTTGGTTGGGGGGGGGAATGGTCGAAAAATAAATTCATGCTTTGAAATCTGCTCTTTGGTATTAATCAACCATTTTATGATAAAATTTGCAAAATTTTGAGATATGTGGCCCCAGGGTCAGTGGTTCTTTTGGGTAGAGGTGCAAAACTGGTTATAAAGTGGAAGTGCATTTTCTCTTTGTTACTCTGATATCTACCTCTGGGTATTAAGTAAATAGAGTAAGCATGGTAAGTTTATAATTATGATAAGCAATAGTGCCTCTTTCAAAATTGTGAATTTCATGGCTTCTGGTTTGAAACCAAAGTTAATTGTTTGAGAGTTGTTACACAATACTCAGGTGACCTATAAGGCCCATGGACCTAGAAGTTTTACTTCATCATTTGATACTTATTTTGGGTCACCAAAAGCAAAACATGGACTTTGCCATAATAATGGAATGGGAGACGGGGTATCATTTAGTGAGCTAAGTGTACCTGGAACCTCTAGTTTTTACTTATTTTTCAGGGTTGATACTGATAATTGCTGTTGGGTTTGATAAATACCGATAGATATGTTAGAAACTGTACTAATAATTGTTTTATATCCTGTGTATTCGAAAAGAAATTTGTTATATTTAACATATATCAGGAAAATAATATAAGTAATGGTAGATGAAACTTTCATACCACTGTTTAAAACTCTAGCTATTGAATAAAAATTACTATTAGGACGATTTTACCCTTACTTTGCTGAGTTTGGACTTTCTCGGCGCTACGTAATGGCGAATACTAGTAGATTCTCATTGGTTACGAAATTAATAACATCAGGAACTTAAAATTGTTGTTGATAACGATGAGACGACTTATGTCCCACCTCTGTGCCGTGAGAGAACTTTTAATTGGCTATTCACTACACCAGTTGACATTCGACCGCATTTCTATCATATGTATATTTCAACAGTGAAGGGAAGCTGTGTAAATTTCAGAAGCTAATTAGGCAACGTCTAGAATGCCACGCCTTACTGAAAGTCCAAACTAAGCGTGTAATTCTTCTATTTTAAAATGAAACGTTAGATAGCTTTTCCTTGATTTAAATAAAATTACAGAATTCATATCATACTATTAAGACAGTAGTTAAACCACACTTAAACAAATTAAGAATTTCTTGTCAAGCAAGTAAAAAAAATATAAATGATGAATAAATAAATGCGTAATAAAGAAAAAAAAACATTATATGCATAAAAATGATTGTGATAAAAATAAATATCTATCATAATAAAGTTGATGGTAATTCCCTTTACGTATTCCCCTGAACCCCCAGTCCTCTAGATCCGGGGGGTGCTCTTTTATCTTTAAACGGGGAGACACAGATCATACAGATATTCTCTAAATTAATTGATTTAAACGACTACGCGGGTTATGTATTTTTTTTCTGCAACAGCTGCTTCATTCATTCCCGCACTAACAACCAAAGAAATACATTTTATTGTTTATATTTATATCTGTTTAAATAATCATTTAAAGTAGGATTAAAAAGATTAATTATTGTATTAATTATGTGAACGTCTTTGTACGTTTTATTGATGGAACAGCCACTGATCAAGAAATCTGTACAGGTGACATGCCTAGTGTAGTTCATGCACTAATTAACGCAATGGGTTTTCTTAAGAAATAAAGCAAAAAATATTCAGTGGATGTAAATATAAATGTTAAGAACTATTGAGATTGGAAATGCATTTAGCCTGAAAACATATTGAAACCAAATCAAAATCATTTTTGTTTGTTTTGTTAAATTGAAAAGAACATGAAGAAAGTAATATGAATATCATTTCATACAGTCCTATAAGTTTCTCCTCATTGTCACCATTTTCATTACTTAGGTGGGCACGAATGGCATCATTGGACTTGGAGAAAGATATAACAGTTTTTCAATTCAAGATCTCTCCAACACAGATACATTCAACCGTAGAATTCTTTGTCCGTTTTGGGTGGATCTAGTAGCAGACGGAGATGGGTCCGCTGTATATTACAAAGTATATAAAAGGTGAGCTTTAATCCGCACACCCTTCTCACATAAACCCCTCACACGATTACAGCCCGAATTAAATGTGTATTTAAACTGTAATCAAAGTATGAAAATAAGAAGTAGAATCCGGATATCTGGAAATGGTATAAAATATGTAAAGAACTTTATTCGGTAATAACCAATTTTTGCCCCCCAAACCAAACTTTGATGGAGATATATTGAATTGAGTTTTTAAACAGGAGAGTATATGCTGACTTCAAAGCACTGAATATTTTCATAAGTAATGATGCCATATGTACGTAATGACGTCACAAACATGACGTAAATTTCAGTTTTTTATGAATTTTACAGAAAAATGTACATATTTCGTCGATATTTTGAGTAAAAGTCACCGAGCGCATGTGTGTTCAGGAACAATATTTTGATATAATGTGTAGAATGATAATTTCAATGAAATATGTAAATATTGTTCCTGAACAAACTTGCGCTCTATAAATTTTAAAGTTAAAATTGTTGAAATTATGTCCATTTTGTCCTCTTTCTGAAAAAGGATATAAAATCGGACTAGTTTGTGACGTCATAAAAACAAAAATTGTTAATACACTGCTCTGACACTATAATATTTTCTGTTAATTTATATTTCTTATGCAATTTATTGAATTCAGCACATTTCAGGAAGTTTTCAAAATTTGACTTTTGTGGGGGCAAATATATGCAATATACCGCATATAGTTCTTTTCCAAGCATATCTCAAATGTACATACACAAGGTTTACATTTCACAGAAAATCATATAATATATATTATATCATATCGTTTACATTTATATATTAAGTAGATGAATTATTTATAAATCTGAAATTAGTATGATACTGTCTCGTTCTTAATTTTAGGGAAAATCAGAATGATGCCACTACTTTAAACAGAGTAGACAAAATAATTCAGACATTCTTTGATGATTTTAAGAATTTCAAATCCTCGATCCTTTACAAAGTAACATGGAACAACATGACATTTTTCGCGGACAGAACAAAGGTACGCTTGTTTTTAATTGAAACACTTGAATCACTTTTCCAAAAGTTTGCACAAAAACTTATATAAGATTTTTAATATTATATGCTTGGTATTTACTTTTAGAGAGTAACTTTTCAATCACTTATTGTTTCTGATGGGCGTGACACCTTCAGTGTGACAAATTATATCGATGTTAATGTTCCCTCGACTATTGGTACACGAATCTCGGTGGGCTACAGATATAGACGATTTGTCGAAAGAAATACATACTCAAATCGACCTGCTTGCTTCCGAATGACACAGGTTCCTGGAAATTTAGGTAAGAATATTCGCTATGAAAACGTAAGGCTTATTTTAAAAAAAACAATACTTGATTTCTTAAGACATAGATTCTAATATACTAGTACTTTGCAGGGTACAACGGATTTTGGGTAACTAAAATGACGACGGAAACCACGTTAGACCCACAGGAAATTGAATGTTATAACTGGTATGCGGTCCAATCACAGAGACGAATTCCGAATCCATGGTGGTTGACATGTCCATGTAATGGCTTTGCTATGAGATTCTTTTCATTCCGATTTGCTTATTACCGATATGATCCAATTTACAACGTCATGTGTTACGTATCTATCACAATGGGCCAATCTTTGGTAAGTTTGCGGTGTGTGATATTCAAATACACAGTAATTGTTTTCCTAGATTACCAGAGCTAATGACTGTAAAAGAATGATGAATTTTTTTTAAAGTCATCCATACGAAAATTATTATTGACAATTTACCGATGAAAGAAAGCAAGATGATGTTTCATGTTAGAAGGGTTTTCATCAAAGCACTAAATATTTAATTCTACAGTACATGACACCCTCTTAAGTTCGGGCGAGGACTTGTATTTTTTTAAAAATCGAAACGCAAGTTTAAAAAAAATGAAAAGAACGATGAGAAAATTGAATATCTTGAAGTTAAGGAGATCCTACCCTTTATAATTTTTTTTCTACAAAGACACAGTGTAACAACCTAGCTTTTGTAGATCCAGAAATAAAGACTTACTGCACAACTCAAAAAAGCAAAGTTTCTTCTTGACATTTTCACATTAGAGATTTTAACAATAGAATTTCCCTTACAATATGTTCGACAATTAATTTAAACAAAGAAAAACATCGGTTTCATCGGAATTCAAACAATACAAATCAGGTCAGAAATGGGATCAGGTGCCACGGAGAAGTGAACATCCCCTGCCAATCAGTCACACTCACTGTGATCTTTGTCGTGATCACAATCAAGAAAAAGTGGCAAATCCGTAGACAATTCAGTATGTAAATAGTGGCCTTACAATTAGTTTGTAAACGTAAATCAGCCTTTAACTTATTGATAGATTGTATTTACTGACGAGGTCATTGTATTGACCATAGAACTTGTGAAACGGCTATTTTGAAATATCTGTAGAGATTCTTGTTGCATATCAATTATTGTTAACTGATAATACGTCTTTGATAGATCTATAATTCGAGTTAAAGACCAAAGCAAGTTTTTTCTTCCTCTCATGGTGAAGGTTTTGAAAAAGTTCTGCATCATTAAGTTGGATGTTGATAGACTTTTTCGTGCTAATTGTCAAGCTATTATTTACACACTCAGTTGTCTATATTTTTGATTTTGTCCGATGAAGAGCACATGACAGGTGTGAACGTTCGAAAAGGGAAGGTTACCCCTCCACTGAACCTGATCCCATCTGATTTCCTTTGATTTTCAAATCTTTTGGTTTTGCATGTTAATGGTTTGCTTTTATGAAAAACAATTAATAAAAATGAATTACAAGTTTCTGAAGATAAAGAAGATTTTAAATATATTTTTTTCAATGTAGCACAAAGTTGTCGCAGTATTACAAAGTTTTACACAACATACTCTTTTTACTTAGAATATCACAATTTAACACTTATGTATTTTTCCTTTTAAATTTTAACCAAAAATAAAATTTGTTCTGATTAAAAAGCAAAATATTTGAAAAAAAAAACATGTAAAAACCATTTATTAAACTCGAATACTTTTTTCTTCAAAGGAGTGTTGCTATCGATGGGGATTTTTTGGACTAGGGCCATTGAGCAGGCGAATTCCAGAATCTGGATCAGTGCTTTCTGCAAATCCCATATTCCAACCAATAGAATATTATCAAGATAACATGAGGGCAAAAGAAGTCTGTTGTGCCTCCGGACACTGCGACTGGTATTACGCATTACGTCCAAGACCCAGATTTTGCCTCAGGTTGATTCCTGTTCGAACAGGTTTGTAGCCATTTGTATTTTGTACAATCTAGATTATTTTAGGTAGTTTTCACTTCTTTTATAGACATTATACAATATTACTGCATAATCCCAGATTCGAGAACTTAATTTATAAAAATCTTCATTGCTTGTGTATTTAAGAATGCATGTCTTTATTGATATTACTTATAAAGCTATTTTCGGTATGCATTTTGAATTCTATGCAATCGTGAAAATTATTATTTTCCATAGAAATTAACATTGTGCATTCTTCTACATGTTTTTTATATGCATTGCCTATTTCAGCCTGGTTTTTTGGTGATCCACATATAAACACACTTGATGGTGGAAAATACACCTTTAATGGATATGGTGAATATACAATGATGAAAATAGACCACAACGGTACAAAGTTTGACCTTCAGGCTCGCACAGATTTAGCAACAAATGCTAATGGAACCACAATCAATGCAACAATTTTCAGTGCTTTTGTTGCAAAGGATCATACCGGTTCAATTGTGCAGGTGGAAATGTCAAGGACTAAAACAAGTAAAAATATATTACAGCAACTAATATGACATATTTAAAAAAGAATTTTTTCACACCCTTTTACAATTTGATTTTCACACTTTCGGCAAAAACAATGTTGACAAAAGGATATAAAAGGAGCGTGAAAAGAAATGTCTAGATCAGATTTCCTGTAAGTTCCACGAAAATGATATATTCTTTTTTATTTTAATTATAGGTATGTATGTTCGAGGAAACGGTCGAGATTTAACATTGGATTTTGAAAATAATCCAAATTTTGTCTTCAGAACCATTAACGTATCCATATCCATGAATAATAAAAGCATTGAAGCATCTTTCATTCAAAGCGGTAAGTGATATCATGAATGATTTTTTTAAATGGTATATGTTGTTACTTACGGAAGCCGGTCGGTTTCGGGGGAAAAATTTATTTTTAGGCCACCAGGTACTATCTATTTAAATTTAACTGACAAACAGAACAAGTACCAGACTAACTTTGCAACAGTTGAATGTATTTGAGGCATCATGATGCGAGAATATTTTAAAGAACAACATAGGAGCATTTTAAACTCATTATATTGAAATGGGAATATTTACATTTTGTTATTCACCTAGCTGTTTCTAACTAGAAACTTATTTAATGGGAAATTTACGGAACTCTACATTCAGTCAAGTACGTTAGGGTAGGGTTAGTTTTGTATCTTAAGTTTTGTATCTAGAGTTTTCCTCTGCTCCTAATTTCACCACGATTCCGAACATTGAATTTCATCAACAACAATACTGTAGACGACTAAATTTTCGCGACACACCATTTTCGAGATAGACAATCACACTCTATTTGCGAGACAAATTTTTTCACGAACTGTTAGTGCTCCATATAATCTTTAAAGGTACTTGGACACAGATTTGAAGTTATTATTTTCTCTATAATATTACGACTTATATATTTTAATAGTATTTCACACAAAAATTAATTAAAAATTTTATTTCGTTTAAAAGATATTGAAATTTCAAATTTTTCGGCGGGTTTGATTGACATACCCTTGCACTCTCACAAATTTAATTTTATTTTTAATCCTTAGGAAAAGTGGCAATCTCGTTTTGTATAAATGAAAAATATTAATACTATAATCCAGAAAATTCAGAGTAGACACGTTCGAAAGCAAAACAAACACACAATATATTGTCAGTCCGTGCAGTTGTGGTAAGCAGACTGTGACGATTGAACGCACCCGATGAATTCTAAATATAAACAATAACAGAACTCGAGCCCTGTTTACAAAAACTGTGTACATAACTCGAGTGTGCTCGATTTGCTAAACTCTGTACGCATCTCTTAGTTCGGAATGACGATACTTGTGAAGGTGTTTTGCTTTCTAACATTTCTACTCTGAATAAAATTATTTTTCTTGATAAAAGTTTTAATATTTCTCATTAAAACACATCAAAATTGCCACTTGTCCTAAGGATTAAGAATAAAGTTAAAGAACGAGGGCGCTTTTAATTGGCATTCGGCAGGAATCTGGGCGTAATTGAAAAGTGAAAATTTTATCGACACGTCACATGAAATTTTAACATTTTTTTTATTTATCGGGTTTCTGTGCAACAGAAAAGGAAAATATTTTCCCGAAATTAAGCTTTGATTTGCTAAAAAATAACTTGAAAATTGGCCAGATCGGACATTTGGTACAAAATGGTACATTTTTAAACACGTTTTTCTAAAAATTTTCTATCTCTGGGTCTTCTCTCCATGATTTTTAAACGTTATTTGTGTGTATTTTAATTCAAAGAAACAAATACACATTTTTAAAAAATGGAGAAAAGACCCAGAGACCACGAAAAATGAACTTTTCCAAAAAAAATCCAAATGTGTGAATGTGGTGCTTCTTTGTCCTTTTAAAATCATCTGTATATGAGTAGCAGTGATAGCTCAGAAAGATGGGTTACCTGTTCAGTGCACTAAGTAGGAATAGTTTTTGGTTCGAGCCTTGCATGGGGCGTGAATTTTTTTTTTTTTTTCATGCAAACAACCATTTATTTTGTCAGTTTCGTTTTAATTACTGGTGTATTAAAATTTTAAATTATATATACTTTCGTTCGGTTTGGTTCTCGAGCGGAATCAATTCCAATCTTCTATTCTATAATGTACATGTACACGTATCATGCATCTATACATTAAATATTTTGGGTGTTCATTTTTTGTGAAATATTACTATGTTATAGTACCCCTATGAAAAACGGACATAAATGTGCAGATGAATTCTAAATATAAACAATACAATCTCACAAAGTCTTTCAAACTAAATGAAAAAAACCTATGCACGTGTTTGTAAAATCTGACCAGCTATGTTCAGCCAACCAAATAATGGACATTTAAACCATAAATGTTTCGTACAAATGATTCCTGCAGATCACACGCCAAATGCGCTCATCTTCTTTGTGAAAGTGCAAGGATGTGTCAATCAAACCCGCCAAAAAATTTAAAGTTTTAATAACTTTTAAATAAAATAAGATTTTTAATTAATTTTTGTGTGAAATGCTATTAAAGTATATAATTCGTGATATTATACAGAAAAAATGAGAAAATATTAACTTCAAATCTGTGTCCAAGTACCTTTAAGAATACTAATATATGCGAGAATGATACTTTTGCAAACACACTGCCTGGCGAAATCAATTAAAAATAAAATTATCGCGAATAAAAATGATTTACATTAGTACGGAATGTTAGGAGATAGAAATATTCCAATTTTTACGATTTAAAGGAGTTTTAGGTAACTTTTGAAAGATTGGCAAAAGAAAATTGATATCAATTAAATGTAACATAGCTCAGATTTGAAAAAAAAATGACTATACGGTGGTCCTCATTATTAACCTCTGGTAAGATAATTAATTAAAGTTGCTTGGATTAATTTCCTTGGATAGTTTTCTTTCTTATCAGAGAGATTTTTCACCTTAATACAACCACAGGAGTTCGCGTATCTATCAATTATACCGAAATTATCATTAAATAAAAAAATACGTATACGTATAATAATAACACGTATTATTATTATAGGTATTACGTATCTTTTATTTACCGAAAATTTCGGCAAAATTGATAGGTACGCGAACTCCTGTGATACAACATTCCAAATGATTCGTTCTTTATTTTATTTTCCTTTTATAAGAATCTAAGCAAATCTCAGATTTCTTGAAAAAAAAGAAAAAAAAAGAAAACAGATCACTACAAGTAATTTGTTATCATTCTACAGCCTTTATTACGAAATGAAAAAAAAAATCTTTGAAATTATCAAACAACGTCAGCTGTATATATCAATATTTTATATGCAAAGAAGAAATTCCCAATAAAGTTTTTATCCGACGGCATTGCAATTAATGTATAAAAAATAAACCAATTCTGAATTTGCTCTATTATCAGTTTTGGGGAAATACAGATGATGATATATAAGAAAGAAATATTTATTGGAATAACGAAAAGTTCTTGAAAAATATAGAAGTAAAAATAATGAATTTCCGTATTGAATTATAATTCTTTATTTCAGCCATTACAATCAAAATAAGTCTGGGTGTCCGATTTCTAACATCTGAAACTATGGTAGACGAAACATACATGGGAAAGGTCACTGGACTCATGGGAAATTTCGACGGAAATACGACCAACGACTTTATTCTTCCCAATGGAACAACGCTATATGACAGCGATGTAGATACAGAGAGAAAAATCTATAACAACTTTGGACAACTATGTAAGATTTCGCTGTCTGTTTCTTTTACCTATTCAAAACATAATAAGTAAAGTTAGCATGTATGTGTAGAGTTGTCTTCATACATTGTCCGGTATCTACACGTAAATATTTGATATCAGTACAAACTTTTACATGTATTTATTACAGAATAAAACTATCATTGTAAGTAAATGAAATGATAATCAAAATAAGGAAATTTAATTCAGGTTAAGATTTATAGCGTTTCTAAATTCACATGTTTGATAAGAAAATATGGATATGAATTATTTCTATATGGATATGAATTATTTCTAAACTTTGTTTACATGCATTGACATTTTTAGACACGTACTCTACATGAGTGCATTAGTGCATTTTTTCACATTTCCAAAACTCTTATAGGGTCGATAGATGCTGCGACTTCACTTTTTCATTATGACACTGGATTAACACATGACGATTTTTCGCATCCCGAGTTTATTCCGTTCTTCGTTGATGAATTTACGGACGATGAAAGGAACAAGTCAATAGAAGTTTGTGGTGGTACAAAGGCCACTCAAGCTTGTATTTTCGATTACCTTGCTACCGGAGACAAATCGCTGGCCGAAGCATCTGGTTCTGACGACAACACCGCGGTATCTGACACTGCTAGTTTAGGTTATCTACAGCTTTTTTTTCACATCCTTAAAGTATGAAATTAAAAAAAATGAATTGAATTTTTACCATGTTTAAATTTAATGATTTTTTTTGCAGAGAATGAGATTCCAAGTATTGAGGGGGATACAAATATACAGGCAGAGGTTAACAAGTCAGTGGAAATAAAGTTTAATGCGACAGATGATGGCACTTTCACTTATCAAATACTTCAGCAACCACAGGAGGGGTTCAGTTTTAACAATACCACCGGGATAGCAACATGGACACCACGGGATAATAATGTTGCAAACATCAGGTGACTGGAAAATTGTTTATAACAATAGATTATTTAAATTGAATCTTCTGAAACAAAGAAAATTAAAAAAAATATATGATTTTTTAAAATGAATTGAAATATTCATTTTGTTTCAGCGTCACTGTTGTTGACAATAAAGGAGAGCAAGCGGCCCCGGTAGATGTCTCTATTATCCTCTGTTCCCAATGTAGTGGTCATGGAAGCTGTAACTATAATGATACTCGGAGTTCTACATCTGATATGTTTAAATATGCTGAATGTGTTTGTGATGACGGATACTCAGGTACACTTTTTACACGTAAATTTTTTAATTATAATGTTTTCCAGAAGATATGGAATTTTAGAAAGTAAAATAAAAAAAAGCCTGCTTAGTAACTTTGTACTGCTATATTCACAGGACAAGACTGCGAGAATGATACAGATGGTTGCGCCCAGTCTCCCTGTGCCCAGGGTAGAAACTGTACAGACTTGACACCCGCGGAGGAGCGTGTATTAGGGAGGGGTTACAAATGTTCTGATTGTCCTGCGGGTTATCTCCTCTTGGATGAAAAATGTGAAGGTACTTCTGTACGATCAAACCAAACATTTTGATACGAAAAAGTATGACTTAAAATTATTTTTTCTCATTTAGATTTAGATTTAATAAGACAAAATAAATATCCAAGAACTCTCTATTATGAGTACATTCTTTGCAACGAGTGCATTAAAGAAATTCTTAAGATCATTGTAGTTGATAAATAATAAGATAAATAAATTTACATCTTATAGACTATTTGTCAAATTGTTTATAGACTAGCGCCATAAAACCACTAGAGACACAACAGTGAATTTTTCAATATTTAACCATCATCTTCACTGTAAAAAGAAATCAACTATATATCATATTTCCTAAACTGTTTATATATCTGCAAGCATCTGATCATGAGCAATGGTATAACAAAGCGATGCTACCTCAGAATACGAAGGATTTACAGCATGAATTAAAATTTGATATAGATTAGCATTTGACATCAATTAATTCTGTTAATTCACTCACATAGAATAACTTAGATTTTCTTTTTCTTTATACACAAGGTATTAAAATTGAAAAATTAAGGACCTACCTTAATTCTGTTAATTCACTCATATAGAATAACTTAGATTTTCTTTTTCTTTATACACCATTATCGATAAGATAAGTTTTCCGAAATCGTACATAAACTTTTAAAAGTCAAAAAGAGGGAGGGGTGCACAAAGGAGTGTGGGGTGAAATCAAAAGTGTAGAAAGATATTTTTATCCCACATTCTTATACACCCTGAAAATATGTTTAGATAGCGTACTGAGAAATGTGAACCAAGACATCCAACCATTTTCTAACTGTAACTTCGCAATCTTTCATTACAAATTGCCTAACAATTAATGGGACATATCCCCTCCCCAGCTTACTTTCGCTGGGATACAAAACAAGTGTCATTTTTAACGATCCCTCTCCCTTCATTAAAGCAATCAATCCAATTTATGATTGCACGTCTGGTAAGTCTAATGTGTTCATAAACCTTGTACAAGTTATTATAAGATACTTCAAAGGAATTTCCAAGTTATACGTTAAACTTTACAGCCGTTCATTGCTCGAGTGAGACTGAGACAACCATTTTACATCACGAGTAACGTACATATTGATGTCATTTTCACATTGTAATGTCACAATGATGGAGAAAATCATTACTTTCCATTTGCTATTTATAGAACATGTGCATGACTATAGGTGTATCAAATTTCATTCTGATCGGAATCGTGGTTTTGAAAATACAGAGATGATTCGCGAACTTTTTGATTTCCTCTCGTATATAAGCAATGCAAAACAATCACGTCGACAGTAACTCAATGCGAAGTTTACCATAGAAGTGAACGGTTTGAATTATAATGACATTGTTAGCCAATAATTGTTTTTTACTACGAAAGGTTCTGTCTATAATATTTACTGCTTTGGACCGGTGTGATCGATCAACAGGAGATGCTTACTCCTATCAGAAACCTGATCCCAACTTTTAAATTTTTGCAGGGCTGTGTTATTTGCAAGCCATTTTCAATTTTTCTCTCATTCATAAGATATTTTTTGTAGAAATTATAGAGTACAGTTTAATCAATTTTCAATTTTGATTTTTTGTAAAGAAATAGTTCTGAAAATTGATTGTTTGCCCAATTATAAATATTGTCAGTATGTACATGTAACTAGATAAATAAGTTATTCAAGAAAGTTTATTGTTTAAAATCAATGCCTTACTTACAGACATTAACGAATGTAACAGTACGTCAACAAACTTGTGCAATAGTGCAACAGAAGATTGTGAAAATACCGAGGGCAGCTATCAATGTAATTGTAAAATGGGATACAGAAAAATTGGAAACAATTGCCAAGGTATGTTATACCTTTATTGTGAAGAACGTAATTTACGCCTAATTTTATTAACAAAAATGGGATTGGACAATAGATAAAACTTTTTTTAAAAAAATAATAATTGCATTTTTATTGAAAAATATTTCTATTTACCAGACATCGACGAATGCATAGAGAGCACCTCGGGATGTGAACAGAACTGCAACAATACTCTTGGGTCATTTGATTGTTATTGTATCACGGGGTTCACACTGAATAATGACAACAAAACATGCAACGGTAAGACACCATACATGTACGATTAAATGCCATTTTTGTAATATTGAAATATTTTTTTATATTAATGGATATGTATCAGGATGAAATATAAACTTCTGTGACATAAACATCAGGAAATTGTCTCGAAAGCTTACGATGGCAGAAACTGAGTCTTTACAATCATGAACAAGCTATTTTCTTACTGGAAAATGCACTTTCTTTTTAGAGAATATGGAACATTTAGAAAGAAAGGATAATTTATGTAAAGTAACATATCATCTTGATGGAAGAAAACTATTTCCGATTTTGAATAGATTTGCTATTTTCTGTCAAAATAAAACTTCAAAATGTAGCTAGCTTGACAGTGTATGTGACGCATACCTTTCTCTGAAATATTATGGTGGGATACTCGCTTTTCCACCTGTGTTTAATTTGTCCCTTGGTATGCTTCCAACAGAAAACAAATGTTGAGGGTAGTGAAATTTTCCTTCGCAAAATGCAAGAACCAGGTAAAAAGTAAAAGATCCATGTATTTCGTGCAAGATTTTAAAATATGAGATACCTTGTCAATGTAGAAAATTCACTGTTTTGCAATACATGCATGTACGCAATTTGTGGCACTTAACCTAAAGCAGTTGATGTCTCAAAATAATTACAAATATCTTTAGTGGAAAGTTAAACTGATTATTCAATAAATCAGTAAATCAGTCAATCAATCAATCGTTTCTCAGATTTTATACAGTGTTATATATATGTATTATATTATCATTCTTCATAATAAATAAAAAAAATTGAAGACCATTTAGGCACATTTTCTGTTGCTATTTTCAAATATGATAAATTCATATATTTTTATTTTAATATAGGTCAAAAGAAAAAGTACTTAAACACTATGACGACACGTCATACTAGTCGACCGATCATTATAAACTTTTTTGTGGAATACTAGTAAACAAATAGTTTTAACAATAAAATCTGTCTTTGTTATCATCAACGAAATGTCAAGTACAAGGTAACAAAAACTACAAAAGGTTTAAAATTAAACTTGTCAGTATATTTTATTTTTTAAGGTTCGAGCAACTGTTCAGGATTAAATTGTGAATATGCCTGTTCCAAAGAGAGTGGTAGCGACGTATGTATTTGTAAGGCTGGATACAAGTTAAAGGACACGGAAAATTGTACAGGTAACCAACAATTTCAATACAATTAGGGTATTTATTTAAAAAAGAATAATTCTGAAAAAAAAACCAAAAGAACACATGATATAGTTTAGATGTACCAATAGATTGCAGGCTAATAAGGAATAACAGCTGAGGTAAAGAGCAATTTAGTCAAAAGATCGCAGTGGATTACTTCCTAATTAAATTTAATTTTACTTGTAGTTTGTCCAACAATATTTTTCGAAAGATTACTTGTAGTTCTTGGAAGACAACAAGAAAAAAAAAAAAATGAATATGACATTTTTGCATTATGTATGATACAGTTATCAACAGAGATAAAGAGATTAGGCAGCAATAGTTTATAATGGAAGTGATGAATCTTATTACATTCTGAATTTTTCTTTTGTGATTAACAAACCATTTTTCTAGACTTTTCTTACTTAAAATTTATATATTATGTCATTAAAAATCTAGGAAAGGATTTTATTTTATCGTCCGAGAATTTTAAATCAAATAAAAATGATAAAAAAAAAAATATTAATGGTACGTCCTAGTTTGGAGTTAAAAACTTTTTTTTATTAAAAAGATTATTTCTTAATTACGCAAGCAACTTAACAGACTGGGAATTTTTTAAACAGATAATTTTAGTACTAAAGGCATATAAAAATTTTGTCATTGAGGCTGTCAATTCATTTTATTTTATCATATTATAAATTTCTCAAGTATATGTAAAGGGATCGAGAACCTTCAGATAGATGATTTTTTTTCAAACTTTGTTTTAATAAATAAAAGGTACCTATTGATTTCTAGGTAAGAAAGTCAAAGATATCAAGTTATGTCAATGCTACGCAATGTTTTGGTCGAATTTCTACAGTTTATTTGTACAACGAAGCGGTTGTCTTTCCCCGACACTTTATTGTATATATTACAATATTATTATCCCATTTATATTTTTATGAGAGATAACGGATAACGCTTATAAGGAAGCCAAACGGTTTGTTATAAGCATGATTTACTGTATCTTCATCAGTGTACGCAATTTCTTGAAACTGTTTTATGTTTATATATTTTTCGTTTTTATTCTGGTTTATGTATAGTTTACAGCATTTAAGTGTCAATAGTATTTCAATATACATGTATTATTGTCCCCCGCTTTCGCGAAAGCGAGGGAACATTAAATCTCATTCGTCTGTCCGTCTGTACTTCGGTCCGTCTAGCTGTCCGTCGGTCAGTCAGTCTGTCCGTCCGTCACAAAAACTTTAACCTTGCCCATAACTTTTGATTTAGTGGAGCTATAATTTTCATATTTCATATGTGTATTCCTTGTGATAAGACCTTTCTTTGGGTACCACCAAATTTGACCTTTTGACCTTGACCTTGGAGTTTCAACTACTTTTAGTAAAAAATTCCAAACTTTTACTTTGGCCATAACTTTTGAATGGTAGGTACTAGGACTTTCATATTTCACATATTTATTCTTTGTGACAAGACCTTTCAATGAATACCAACAACTTTGACCTTTTGACCTTGACCTTGAAAATTTACGTACTTATGAAAAAACTATATCCTTGACCATAATTTTTGAACGGTAAGGGCTACGGCTTTTATACTTCACATATTTTATTCTTGTAAGAAGACCTTTCATTGGATACCAAGAACTTTGACCTTTTGACCTTGACCTTGGAGTTTTAACTACTTTTTAAAAATAATAACCTTCATCACAACTTTTGAACGGTAGATACAAGGACTTTTATATTTCACACATGTATTTTTTGAGGCAACATCTTTCATTGGATACCAACAACTTTGACCTTTGCACCTTGACCTTGGAGATTTACGTACTTCTGAAAAAACTTTAACCTTGACCATAACTTTTAAACGGTAAGGGCTAGGGCTTTCGTACTTCACGTATGTAATCCTTGTGAGAAGACCTTTCATTGGATGCCAAGAACTTTGACCCTTTGACCTTGACCTTGGAGTTTTAACTACTTTTTAAAAATGTTAACCTTGATCACAACTTTTGAACGGTAGAAACTAGGACTTTCATATTTTAAATATATGTATTCTTTATGGCAAGACCTTTCATGGGATACCAAAAACTTTGACCTATTTGCTTGTTCTTATTATCATCATGGCATATAATATTGCTCATTGACATATGTCAGACAATGGTTTTCGATCAATGCTTTAATACCTGTGAAAGTAAATAATAATCTAATTATCATTTCAAGCCATGGTAAATTTTAGGACGAAATTAATGTTAAAATGTAAAATTCTGTTTCAAATTGTTCTTGTGAGAATATTTAAACTTAGGGCTCGTATCTGGCATTTTTCTCCTCAATTTTTATCCATGTTACTGTAAATCAACACCGGTAAAATAATATACATTGCTGGTTGCTACAATTAAATTCAGAGAATTGGCTAGGAGGGAATTAAAGAGATGATCATACATATAAATTTGCATATATATTTGTATAAAAAAATAACTGAGATATCAATTACTTTCAAAAATATATATATTGTTCATTTAGACATAAATGAATGTGATGTCAGTGGAATCTGTTCCCAGGGCTGTGATAATTCTGACGGATCATACACTTGTTCCTGCTTCGCTGGGTACTCACTGAATCCAGATAAAACAACTTGTTCGGGTAATTTGTTCACGAAATATTATAGTATTACAGTCAAATATTATTCTTATGATTTTGAAGTTATCATTTCATACTTTGCGGAACCAATCGATTAAATTTAGCTCAAACAAATCTCCGAATGTCTGCTAAATTTCGTGCTCTTTACATTAAGAATGCGAACCCCCTAACTATGGTGTTGGATGTCAACAAACTTGTACCTGTGGTAAGGGGATGGACCGGTGTGATCCAGTGACAGGGTGTGTCTGTAAATCAGGCTGGACCGGAAGTAACTGTGACCAGGATGTTGATGAATGTACAGAAAACCCTAACATCTGTGGTAGTGACAAAATCTGTCAAAACTTAGAAGGATCTCACACTTGTAACTGTCGAACTGGATTTCAAAAAGACAGCCAAGGAAACTGTATTGGTGAGATAATTTATTTCTGAAGCCGCAAATCAAGTCATATGGAAAGAGAATGATTTTTTTATTTAAAAAAACCCCTATAAATTAAGGGAGCAATTGTAAACGTATGTCATTTCACATTTTTAAGATTTTCTGTTTTGAAAGTTTCAATGGATTGTGGTCTTGAATCACTTATACCTCTGTATTTGAAAAGTAAGACAGAAAAAAAAATTAGTGGTGTCCTAGGAAAAAGATACATATGACATTTGAAAGCGCTAGCATTAACAATTAAAAAAGTTATGACCTAGATTAATGTTTGTTGAAGGAAAGTAAAACTTTAAAGTATAGCAAAAAAGGTCAAAACTATAAGTATTGAAGGTCCTCTCATGAAATTCACATGTGAAGTTTCAAATCCATAATACAAAGGTTGCAAAAGTAGGGGGACGTCTTATCAAATAAAAGAATAAATTTCATTTGGAGATTTCACACGGAATGTCGTGTTTTAATTTACCATCTTCAAAAAATGGACACCCTTCTCTTCCACACAGAAATCAGAAAGCATTTCACTTAATGTTATAAATGAGTTCAGAATTTAAAGAACATATACATTCAAACGGTTTGTTGTTACGCGAAAATCACAAAAAAAAAAATTACAATTTTCTTTTCAGATATTAAAGAATGCGATAACGCTGCTTCCCATAACTGCTCTACAGATACGACAGTTTGCTCTAATAACATTGGCGGCTATACTTGTACATGTAAATCTGGATACACGCGAAAAAACTTTTATGAGTGTGAAGGTAAGTGGACTATTCCAAAAAATCATATTGTGTTGGGTAAACTAGGGTTAGCAAAACGATTTCGAAAATCATCGATTTTTCTCAGCATTTTGATTTAAACTATAATGTGGGGCTAATATGTCGCAGAACATAACAATTATTTTAAAGATTTTTAATGCTTACCTGCTTTTATTTTAATTTATTTAAAGAAAGTACGGTTCTTGTATTTTACTGTTCTCATGGTTTGCATTGATTTTCCTTTATCTTTAAGATTCTAAGTCGTGGTCAATGTTCATTTTCTACAATAATTTCATTATCAGAATTTTTTTTATAATTCCTATTGCCTAATCATCGATTAAGATGATCTTTTAGAATATAACTGAAGATGTGTAGTAGCTTGTCGGGAAATTTTACGGATAAAAAATATAGAAAACCGTTTTTTAGCTCACCTGAGCCGAAGGCTCAAGTGAGCTTTTCTGATCAAAATTTGTCCGTCGTCTGTCGTTGTCGTTGTCGTCGTTGGTGTCGTTGTAAACTTTTCACATTTTCATCCAAGAACCACTGGGCCAATTTCAACCAAACTTGCCACAAAGTTAAAGGGGATTCAAGTTTGTTCAAATGAAGGGCCACGCCCTTTTCCAAGGGGAGATAATCATGAATTTGTTAAAAATTAATGGCATTTTTAAAAAATCTTCTTCTCAAGAACCGCTGGGCCAGGAAAGATGAAACTCATGTGGAAGCATCTTCAGGTTTGTTCAAATTTGACCCCCGGGGCAAGGGTGGGGCCAAAATGGCCGACCCAAGTTTTACATAGGAATATAAAGGAAAAATCTTTAAAAATAATCTTCTCCAGAACCACTGGGCTTTCATGTGGAAGCATCCTCAGGTAGTGTAGATTCAAGTTTGTTCAAATCATGACCCCCGGGGCAAGGGTGGGGCCAAAATGGCCGACCCAAGTTTTACATAGGAATATATAGGAAAATTCTTTAAAAATCTTCTTCTCCAGAACCACTAGGACAGGAAAGATGAAACTCATGTGGAAGCATCCTCAGGTAGTGTAGATTCAAGTTTGTTCAAATCATGACCCCCGGGGCAAGGGTGGGGCCAAAATGGCCGACCAAAGTTTTACATAGGAATATATAGGAAAAATCTTTAAAAATCTTCTTCTCCAGAACCACTGGGCTAGGAAAAATGAAACTTATGTGGAATCATCCTGAGGTAGTGTAGATTCAAATTTGTTCAAATCATGACCCCTGGGGCAAGGGTGGGGCCAAAATGGCCGACCCAAGTTTTACATAGGAATATCTAGGAAAAATCTTTAAAAATCTTCTTCTCCAGAACCACTGGGCCAGGAAAGATCAAACTACTTTGTATTCTACTAACGTCGTGTTGTTTTACGTTTGTTCAAATCATGACCCCAGGGGCAAGGATGGGGCCAAAATGGCCGACCCAAATTTTACAAAGGAATATTCAGGAAAAATCTTTTAAAAATCTTGTTCTCCAGAACCACTGGGCCAGGAAAGATGAAACTCATGTGGAATCATCCTTAGGTAGTGTAGATTCAAGTTTGTTCAAATCATGACCCCCGGGGCAAGGATGGGGCCAAAATGGCCGACCCAAGTTTTACATAGGAATATATAGGAAATATCTTTAAAAATCCTTCTCAATTACCACTGGGCCAGGAAAGATGAAACTGATAGGGAAGCCATCCTCAGGTAGTGTAGACTCAAGTTTTTTCAAATCATGACCCCCGGCCCTGGGGATAGGGTGGGGTCAAAATGGCTGACCCAAGTTTTACATAGGGATATATAGGGAAACCTTTCAAAACTTCTTTTCAAGTACTTCAAAGCTATGATTAGTGATACCCGGGGTATTTATATGGAATCATCCTCAGGTAGTGTAGATTCTAGTTTTTTCAAATGATGAACACCTGGAAAGGGGGGGGGGTGTAAATTCAAGCCCGATGTGCTCAGGTGAGCGCTGTGGCCCTTGGGCCTCTTATCTTAATATGTAATTCTGATCCAACAAAGTTTATGTTACATTTAATTCTTAAAGTTCAGGCAGTTATTTTTACTTATTATTTATTTTCAATTATTGAACGTAACTTAAAACATTATATCATAATATTATTGCTTGAAGTAAATGTACTTGTACATGATTGATTTTCTCTGACTCCAAAACTAACTCTCAATATTTAGATTTCGATGAGTGCGCTGCTGAGACGGATGGTTGTTCTCAGAGATGTGACAATGTAGATGGGGGTTTTAACTGTGAATGTGAATTTGGCTATACATTAGGTGATGACAGAAAAACATGTATAGAAGGTAAAGATATCAAAATATCATCGAGTCTTCATTTAATTTGCTCACAGGAAGAGATTAAGTACACGAAACATTCATAGCCTTAATTAAACCCAGATTTTTTGGATCTTTTTCATTTATCTAAGTTACATGGCCATGTCTATATAAGTACTTAAAAATTTAAACCAATGACTGACAACTTACTTGACTACCATGTTCTTATTCAAAACACATAAAAGAGCTATCTATCAAGGCACGTGACGGAATGTTGAGTTCTCTTAAAATCACCTGCATTAAGAAATCACGTAGTGAATATTCACCACCCTAGGCTGCAATAGGTTGATTGGTTGATTGATTGAATATTGTTTAACGCCGAGTCGGCACTTTTTCAGCCTTGTTTCGGCGGACCATTAGTTTAAATCGGTTTTTTGAAAGTTTTTGGTGTCTCTGGCGGCCCCAAGTGAGCCTACTCTTTTTCGAACTCCAGAGAAACGATCTTTTACGTGCCAAGGGGGTTGTTAAAGATCGTTTCTCTGGAGTAGAAGCTGCAATAGGAAGAGAGGATAATCGAAGAAACTTTTTTGTCTTTTGAATCTATGGTCTTATTTGTCTATAAAAATCCTTTTGAAAAATATATATGCATCTTATACAACTACTTTAAATTTTCACAAAGAGAGAAAGAGACGGATTTGTCCTGATTTTGTGTAGACTCAATGAAACAAGTGGGCACCATCATTAGCATATGCCTATGAAAACAGAATTTTTCTTCGTTAATACATGTTTACATGAATATTTATTGTTATGAGTCAAAGTTGCAAATGAAGTGTCATCTTTTTCCTGTATTATTCTGACATGTCCTTCAATTCTTTCACATTATAAATTTTTTAATACAATTTATGTTATTAGAAAAACCAATCCATTTAATGTTTCATTATTATAGTACAAGATATATGTAGCCTGTTTCCATTATTAAACTGCTCGTATGGATGTAAAAAGAATGGAAGTGAAGGGTCCTGTTTTTGTCCGGCTGGATATCTACTAAATGCACAGGACCAAAGATCATGTGTCGGTATGTATCTTATAACCTACGTTACTATTCTTACTGGATTTTAAAAACTTAGGCTGTTTTATTGTATTTCTTTTAATCTGTCGAACATATGATAAATAATGTTATGCATTTAGAACATCTGACAGAAAAAAAAGAAATCTTTTTGCTACTATATTTTGGAAAAGTATAAAAGTTTCATTTATTCAAGGAGGTATTGTGAAACGATACATGTATGTTCATTTTTATTTATCGTTTAACGCTTTAACGATTCTGTATGGTCCGTATACGAAAATATTAATTGACGTATTATTGATGTCTCAAGAATAATGATGCTGTAAGTGGTTTATACTTAACTGATATATAAGCATTCTTATGCTAATGAAAAAACGAAAACAAAAGTAAGATGGAGAAAGCCCAGTTCCAAGTTTTGTGAACAGCTGAGTTCACAATTAATGTTTTTCCTCTACAACTATTAATTGTTAAGAGTAAAACATCATCTCTTTTAATGAGTTTCACAAATAACCCTCGATAGAAAGCAATGGCATAAACCACACAAATAGATAGAATAATATTTCTTTTTCTGTTTGAACTAATACTAAATATTAAATTTGATTTAATTGAAACACTTTTTTTATTTTAATAATAATGTCATTTATAGATATTGACGAGTGTAATGATGCTACTTTAAATCAATGCAACTTCAAAGAAAAATGTATCAACATTGATGGTTCCTACAACTGTTCATGTCCGATAGGGCATACACTAGAAAATGATGGAAGGACTTGTAAAGGTGATTCATACGATTGGAGAAATTATTAAATTAAAATATTAATCAGTAAATTTCTGTATTTGAATAATTGACTGCCGGAGTACCATAAATATCATTCCTTAAACTGTATTAATACTTACATACGTATATGTCCGGTATCTATCTACACAAAACTGAGTAATTTATTGTACAATTACATGTAAGACATTTCAATTTTTGACTCACCTTAAAATTCCTGAATACCTGTACTTGAAATTGTAGAATGTAATGGGTTTACATTTGGAGAAGACTGTAAAACTCCTTGCAACTGTGGAGTGGGTTCCTCAAGATGTGATAACGTCAGAGGTTGTATATGTGATGGTGGATGGACGGGAGAAAAATGTGACATTGATAAAGACGAGTGCTCGTCTGGAAGTTCTTGCACTAAAGCAAATCAGGAATGCAAGAACTCACCGGGATCGTATAAGTGTGTTTGTGCTCCTGGATATGTGAAGAATACAACGTTAAATGAATGCTCAGGTTTTAAATTATTTAAATTGAAGCTATATTTTTCTTCCATTTTTTATATAATCTTACTTGAAAATGTAAAAAGCTTTTGTTCATTACAGAAAAAAATATATTATGTAAATGGAATGATAAAATCCCCAATAACTTAAACCATGATGTTATTGAAAATAATCATGATGTATATGTAAAGGTAGGTGCAAATTATTTCAGATATCGACGAATGCGACACTAATCCATGTAGTCAGCTCTGTACAAACACAATAGGAAATTACTCCTGCGGTTGTTATGCTGGATTTCGATTGGTCGGTGCTTCGCAGTGTGAGGATATTGATGAATGCTCTGCTCCCACAAGTCCCTGTGACCAAATATGCGCCAATACCCAGGGAAGCTTCAGGTGTTCTTGTAATGCTGGGTTCTCACTGAATACGACAACAAGGGTTACCTGTGAAAGTAAATACATATATTTCATATTTCCCCATTTCTATAACCATGTCCAGTTTCATTACGAATATTTGAATTACATAAATGACTTAACTTAGATTACTATTGTATAATTATTTTCTTTTGAAGCAAATACACGTTGTGAGAATGTAACATTTAACTGCACTCAGAAGTGTGGAGTTAATTCAGATGGATCGGAATATTGCTTCTGTAATCCTGGATTCATCTTAAATAATGACGGTTTCATTTGCAATGGTAGCTATATCTGTTTTTTTTAAATATCAAATATCTTTATATCTGTATAATTATGTTTATGGACGTTATCTTTAATATTTTATTAAATAAATTGATAAATGATATTACATTTGTTTATATGACTGTGTCTTTGTACATATAAAAGTAAAATTAACTTTTGATAAATTAATAAAACACTCCTTATTTTAACAAAAAAATGTTAACAATAAAATGAAACGGAAAAAGTGGAAGAACTTCTTCTGTATGATTTTTTTTATTTTCGTAGACATTGACGAATGTTCTTCAAATCCATGCAGTGAACAATGTTCCCAGAATACCCCAGGTCCCGGGTACACTTGTTCCTGTGCTGCCGGAAAGAAACTTGACGTTGACCAGAGAACATGTATAGGTAAGTTAAGAAGACATTCACTAAAAATAAAAACAATTTAAAAATATATTTAATTTTATAATAAATATTGCCAAATGTAAAAATTGTTTCATAATAAACAACGTTTTCAGATTGTGACTCTCAAACATTTGGTTCTGAATGTTCCTTAAATTGCACGTGTGACGTCCAGAACACTCTTTCGTGTGACAAAGTCAATGGAAGCTGCACTTGTAAAACGGGTTGGGAAGGAGAAAACTGCACCAAGGATATTGATGAATGCAAGGAAAATAATACAATATGTCCAACCAATGCCGAGTGTTCAAACACCAATGGCTCCTTTTCTTGTGTTTGTAATCCTGGTTTTGCCTTGGCTAATGGAAATTGTGTCGGTATGTTTGAATTTTACGTATATAATTGAAGTAATGAAATTTTTTATCAAAACAACGCTATAAACATTCTCGTTTTACAGACATCTTGGGATTTTAATTTTACCAAATTTCCATTCCGTTACACTTATTTTTGTTGTTGTGATTTTAAACAAGTCATTGCATCGGGTGTATATTTTGTCTTTTTTATATATTTTTTATCTATCTGATATCTAAATTTATAAAGTCATTTTTCAGTACTTGTGATATACGAGGATGATACGGGATTATTAGTTTTTAAATATTGTGCCACAACATTTAGATTTTTAAAGTTATTGTATGTTCGGTCATCAAATATAAAATGTTCACCTAGTGGCATTTCAGTTCAACAAAACTCATTTTACATTATATCAGTAAACTGGCCCTCTTTAAAAGCAGCACTGCTTGGTTCTTTAATTAATTCATAATTCACTTGCTTAAAAAATTTCTTTAAAATGTTTGATATGCAGCATTCCTTTTGTGGCAATTACACGAAACTAAGGTATGATATCTTGTGTATGCCTTATATTAACTGATATATTTTGCCATTGGATATATAAATAGTGAAAAGAATTTTTTCAAGAGAGGCATGTTTAATTGTTTAGCTTTTACGACAAGGAAAGACATTTTTCAATCTGCAGATGAAAATGATTTGTGGAAGTGAAACATATACCTGATAAAGTTAAGAAATAGTAAAATCTTTGTTAAATACAAGGTTCTTGAACATATATAAAACAAAGAAATCAACGGAAATAACTCATTTTGCAGAATGTACCAGTACCACGTATGGTCAGGATTGTGCCAATCAATGTACGTGTGACCTATCTAACTCAAGGTCATGTGACAAACAAAACGGGACTTGTTATTGTAATGATGGGTGGATGGGTGTTAATTGTACAGAAGACATCAAAGAATGCGAAGACAACTCAAATATATGTGGAGCAAATGCTAACTGTTCAGATGTTCCTGGTTCATATATTTGTAACTGTAATCTTGGATACAAGAAAAGTGCAAATGGTGTATGTGAAGGTAATTAAACATAATTTAAATAAATTGGTTACGCAGGTCCACCGAAACATTCATCGGCAGACATGATGCGGACTCCACGTCAAATAATATTAAATCAATCACAATATATGTTTGTCAATGCTTTATGAACACACTTAGGTTTAACAAATATCAAAAACCTACCCTTTTTAGACGTTGGCATTTTCATTGAACATCTCGGACTTTTGAAATACAAATAGCGGATAAACGTATTTAGTTTGGTGACATTTTTTCTGAGATTAAATAATTATATATAAAATAAACCCTATATTTGTATGGCTTTTGCGTTTGCAATTTTGATGTTTATTGTTTCACTATAAATGATCTCAATTTTTTCCCCGTCAGCACGTAAGTAATTGTGATAAAAATTTCATAATGCAACTGACCCAGTTTTTGAACCACAGTCGGGTGAGGGCAGGCATATATATTTTTATGTGCCATAATTAAATTTCTTTGAATTTACAAACAGAAATAGCGGATAAATCTTTTTTATATTAGTTTGGCATGCCAATATTTTTTTGGAGTGTGAAATATATATAAAATAAACTCTATATATGTATGGCTTTTGCGTTTGCAATTTTGTATGTTCTTAACATCAGAGAAATGACAAACATCAAGAAAAATGAAGGTCCAATTATCTTAATTTACACTAGCAACGAAATTGGAAGATTTTTGTGTTAAAAATTCTATAAAACAAGAATTCAATTATTATGAACTTGGCACGAAATATTGATATCGGTAAAGTCTGTGATGGGCATATATATTTTTATGTGCCATAATTAAATTTCTTTGAATTTACAAACATGATATATCGAAAAAGCATCTTTTTAAAAAAGTTTTTACAAAATTAATAATATGCATTAGAAAAAAATGAACTCAAATTTCTTCCACTTAAAAAGAGTAATTTTTTCAGACGTGAACGAATGTATACTAGGAACAGACACATGTGATGCAAATGCTGATTGTACAAATACCGTTGGTAGTTTTAATTGTACCTGTAAACCTGGTTTTAGTGGAGATGGTTTTTCTTGCACATGTAAGTACATATATTATTGCAAAGGCACCGTATGTATCTTTTATTGAAATGGCTTTGTGAAATTTTGAAAATGAAGTTGCTTAACCTTAAATACAGTTATGTCTTGTTTACACTTTGACTGCGAAGAAAAGAAGGGGGGAAAAAGCATCTCTTTTTTAAAATAGAAATTTGTTCTGAAATACAATTTTTAGTTCAAAGAAGAAAATTTTGCTTATGTGAATCGATATTCAAGTCACAAATGCAAGCTAAAGCACATTGTTGATTAATGAAATTTAATTTAAATTTGAAAAATTATGTAAAAGAAAAATATCCATTAATTTTCGAAAAAAAATTGTCAGAAGAAAAAAAAAATCAATAAACAATATATACATGTGATAAATTCATGATCAAAATTTATTTCACAGCTTGTAACAGTACTCATTTTGGAGAGGGATGCTCATCGTTATGCAGCTGTATAGAGGCAAACACTGCAGACTGTGATGATGTTACCGGGACGTGTAAATGTAAAACGACTTGGAATGGTACAAATTGTGACATCGATATAAACGAATGTGACCTCGGTACTCACAACTGTAACACGACTTACCAAAACTGTGAAAACAACGATGGTGGTTTTAATTGTGTCTGTCGTTATGGAGAAACTAACGGTGTTTGTAACGGTATGCTTTTATTATTTTTGTTATAGAACTATATTGTTTATATTTCATCGATATTTTCAGAGTGCAAACCTTTACAACATATCGTTGTATGTTATTCATAATTAATATTTCGTTAAATTTCTTTTCATATATGAGGCATTACTTTTTGAAAAACACTTCTCATTTGAGAACATTTTTTTTGAAGGACATTTGGGAACAACCTGAATTTTCTTCAATATTTTTTTTTTTATCAAATAGATAAGCTAGCTGTCAAACAATCAATCTTTGATGATCATACGAAAAATAATTCTTAGAAAATAAAAATGTAGATGGTTCCCAATTAAAAAAAAACTTTAAAATTTGTTAAATGCAACATTTTTGTAGAAAGAAATATGTAATGAATATTCCTTTTACTCGTAGGAGGGTGTAACGATACACATTATGGCTATCAGTGCAACCAAACATGTCCATGTGTTTTGACAAATATAGCAGACTGTCACGATGACACTGGGGCGTGTACGTGTAAATCAGGTTGGACTGGGGTGGACTGTAGTAGCGATAGAAATGAATGTACTACAAACAAGCACGATTGTAATGACACAATAGAAACATGTAGCAATATCGATGGATCATGGAATTGCACGTGTATATACGGAAATAGCAACACAGGATGCATTGGTAAGTACATTGTTTGATCGCCAATTAGCAAAACGTTTTACAACGCTATGTTTGACCGAAAGACTATTTTTAAAGCACATAAATTCTTGAATTTTATTGTGAAGAAAATTTTGCTTGTGAACAATAATATCGACGCTCTCGAAATTTTAACCACATTTTGCAGACTGATGAATTAAACACAAATAACTTGTACATCTATAAATTTACATTTTTATATTTCCGTTCCTTGATATACTAAGTAATTGAAGACTGAAAAAGTAAAATCGTATTATAAACTTGACACCTTTATAACTTTTCAGCCAAAGAATCAGAATATACTCCAGGTAACTAGTATGATTTTAATTTTACAATTTTTTTTCTATTTCCACATGTTTTTTTTTTCATTTTTCCAAAAGAAACGGCATCTGGGAATTGTTTTATTGATCTACGACACTGCGAATAAAATGTTGTTGCCCCTTAATATGGGCTGTAAAAATGCATGCACATTGTATTGTAATTTTTTTTATATCTTTAACAGAAAGTACAGAACTTTCAGTAGAAGTTGTTGTTACTTTCGATGAAACCATAGATCTGAGCGATTATGCTGCTGCCAAAAGGAATATGTCGGCAGCCGTATGTATATGTTATAGATAATTATTTACTATGGTAATTATGATAAGATATTCCTTTCATTCTACAAATTATTTTATCTTTTATAATTCAAATAATGTATTTAGTATAATTTTGACTGAGAATCAATTAACAGTCTCCTGTAAGTTTTCACTTTAAGGGATTTTATTTTTATGTATCTATTGTCTATATATTTGATGGGATCTTCCACAGCTGTCGAATTACTACAGAAGGAAAATAAAAGAATTCATAAAAGTTATTATCCTTGTCATGAGGTAGGATATAACTCTAAACTTAATATTTTATTTATACTTGCACACATGATTGTGTAACATGCATTTTTTACCTTCTTTATGAAAGAATGAGACCTAGTAACCTTAAGCCCAAAAAACAAAACAAACAATACAACAAAGTAAACATTGTACAAGTCATTTTAGCTGACCTGAGCGGAAGGCGCAAGTGAGCTTTTCTGATCACATTTTGTCCTTCTTCCGTTCGTCTAGCTGTCCGTCCGTCCGTTTGTAATCTTTCCACATTTTCGACGTCTTCTCAGGAACCATTGGGACAATTCTAACCAAACTTAGTACAAAGAATTCTTGGATAAATGGAAGTTTAAATTCTTAAAATCAAGGGCCAAGAAGTTCCTTCACAAGGGGAGATAATCAAAAAAAAAGGCAAAAATAGGATGGGGTTATTAAAAAATCTTCTTCTCAAGAACCCCTGGGCCAGAAAAGCTAAATCTTATTTGGAAGCATCATGGGGTAGTGTAGATTTTAAATTGTTCAAATCATGACCCCCGAGGGTAGAGCGGGGCCACAATAGGGAATCAAAGTTTTCCATAGAAATATATTGGAAATTTTTTTTAATATCTTCTCAAGAACCACTGGGCCAGAAAAGATGACACTTAATATGTGAAAGCATCCTGGGGTAGTGTAGAATCTAAATGGTTCAAATCATGACCCCAGGCGTAGAGCGAGGCCACAATATGGAATCATTTTTTTATATAGAAATATATAGGGAAAAACTTCAAAAATCTTCTTCTCAAGAACCACTGAGCTAGAAAAGCTGAAACGTATGTGGAAGCATCCTGAGGTAGTGTAGATTCTACGCAAGTGAGCTAAGGCTAAATATGGATATTTCTATGCAAATGAGCTAATAAAAATTCATAAGTTGTATATTTTATGTACAGAGAAAGTTCAAATTGATTTTCTTATACATACTTAGTACCCACAGCTTGTTAATGCAAGTGCACATTATGACGTCATATTATGACGTCATTGTTCTCTCCCGTTCAGTGGCGTAGCTAGCAAAATATGTACTGTATTCAAAAAGGCAAGGGGTCTGGGGGCCGCCTTGAGGCCCCCAGCGGGTCCAGGGCAGGGCCCTGGTGGGGGCCCAGGGGGCAAAGCCACCGGAAGCTCATGGATTTTTAGGGTTTTATACATCAGAAAATTACCTTAAAAAGTTTAATTTTTACAATCATAGTTTTACCAAATATTAACAAAAAATTGCTGAGTTTTGACGATACACTTACAACTCTAAAATTCTTTCTTTTTTTAAAGCATTTCGTGTTATCCTGAAATAAGACAAAGCATTTTCAACAGTGGAAATCTTGCAATAAGTGTGTTTTACGAAATCACAAACCTTGAATTTGTGAGGAGGATATAATTGATATTTTCACAATTTTTTTCCTAATGCAGTGTGAAAGTAACAATCGGAATGCAAAGTACCACAAGAAAGAACATCTCTGCTTTAATTTGATCAATTCCGAATGATAATTTTCATACTGAACATTCAAGACACACTGTTTTCACATTTTTTACCATAATAAGTGTTTAGTTACTTTCAAACATTTTTTTTCCTGCTTGTAGCAACTTTATAATTACATTATCGCAAAACTGTTTTGAAATTGTCTGACGAAAGAGAATTTATTATGAAAGGCAGGAAAACCTTTATATGCAGAAAATTCAATGTTCTACATAGTAGTTGCTATAAAATTTATTTTACAAGTTAAGTTTTTTTTAATCATATATGAATTTATCTGAATTCTATATACCGCTTTATCCACACACCAAAAAATATTCTCCATTTGTTACATGTTAAAAATTTAATTGGTTTGAAATAATAGTACAAGTTTGCAGTTAATTATAAGGGGAATAAGAAAATAAAACGGATTAAATTATTTGGCTTATTTGCATTTACTTTGAATTGACACAACTTTACAATTCGCCCTTGAAATTCTAAAATGATTTTTTAAAACGATATGTACTCTGTATTAAAGATAGAATCTTAATATATTACCGGTATTTCAATACATTTAGTACGTAGAGGTAAACAAATCGATGTTTTTTTTAATATAACCTATTTTAATTGAGTCTTGTATTGGACTTCTGACATGTTTTTCTTTCTTTTTTATCATTATTTCTTGTTATTTTTTTTTTGTGAAAAATCTGTGTATTCATTTGCGTTTTTGCTTAAAGGGCGCTACGCCACTGCCGTTCAAGGTAATAAATCACGTCAACAAAATCACGTCGGCGCAAGGGCATATCCTATCTACTTTAAAATAAACAATGTATAATAAAAAGGAGAAAATACTTAAAAGTAATAAAATTGCTGCACAAATCCTATTCACTTTCTCAATTGATAAAAAATTTATGAAACTTACACTGGACTGTGATTTTTTACCCAGTTTAAACTTAAAACTGCAAGAATAATAACTACACAATTGCAGTGCCGACATTTGTGCAGCAGTATCTTAAATCCTTGGAATATCCTGCGTCTTTTTATACCTTTTTTCTGTAAAACAAAGTAAGGTATGCCCTTGCGATGACGTCATAATATGACGTCATAATGTGTACTGGGTATCGCATGTCGTTGGTACCAAGAATGTATTTGAAAACAAGTCTTAACAGTTTCTGTGCCTTAGGTAGAGCAATTATGGAATTTAATTAAATATTTTGCATAGAAACCTCCATATGTAGCCTTAACTCACTTGCGTAAATTGTTCAAATCGTGATCTCGCGGGGTTAGGGCGGGATCACAAAAGGGAATCAAAGTTTTACATAGAAATATATAGGGAAAAACACATCCTGGGTTAGTGTAGATTCTAAATTATTCAAGTCATGAACCCCGGGAGGAGGGCAAGGCCACAATAGGGAATCAAAGTTTTAAATTGAAATATATAGGGAAAATTTTTTAAAATTTTCTTCACAGGAACTACTGGGCCAGAAAAGCTGAAACTTGTGTGGAAGCATCTGTGTGTAGTGTAGATTTTAAATTGTCCAAATTATGACCAGTTTGGTAGGATTGGGTCAAATTATGTATTACAAGGGGGGAATTTGGTAAAGAACAGCATGGTCAAAGCTCAAAAGGTGAGCGATGTGACTCACGGGCCTCTTGTTAACATGTTTACATAATATAATGATATTGAAATTATTGAGGTTTTTAAGATAAACATTATTTAGCTAAAATATTGGATAAAAATATTTACATGTAATATTATGGAATTTCATCGTATTTTTATGATATACCACACAACTTCAGCATGATGCATGCCCTTTTCTTTTACAGTTGATACTTTCTGTTATCTTCTCTTGTTCAAAATTAATGTTGATGAGAATAAAAATCAAATTTAAGACACGTATTATCACGTATTATAAAACACCGGATATTTCATTGTTTGGTACAAAGTTTTAAAAATGAAGAGGAATTAAGCAATCGAAAAGCTTTGGAAGGTTCAATACTCACACTTAAGCATCAGACAAGGTTTTGATATTTGATCATGATCAGAAAGATCAACACAGAGTGTAGAAAACGATGGATACTTTTCTAGTCCTTCCTGTGTTAGGAAGAATAATAGGCTTCTGTACGTTTCAATTCGATAGATAGTAATCGCCAGGAAGTATTTAAAGTGAATGTTATCATAATTCATGAAATCTGCACATAACTTAAGAAACTAACAAATATTGTCATTTGGAGGTATTTGAAATCAGACTATAAATATCTTTTCTTTAAATATTTCTTGAAAAAGTATCACGAAAAATAAATTTACATGATGTCTGGGATCGTTTGAAGTCATCATTTCGTTAGATCTATGGTCAATTGTGAGTATATACAATTTGCCATTCAGTCATTTGCTGACTGATGCTTTCCGTACTAATTGTGAGACCAATATTTACACACAATTTTTCATACTTATTGTTAAACCATGATTTACACACTAAATTGACGACGCTTTTGTTCGTTATTTCCCGATAATACCAAGAAGCCCAGGGCGGGTGTGCTCACTCCTCCATGACACATGATCCCACCTCTGATGTTTTGGAGGTCCGTGTTTGCTATGCTCTTAAATTGTATTGTTTAATGGACTTTTGATCTTGAAAACTGTTCGTTATCTCCTTAAACGTTATATTATTATATGGTATAATTTTCAATGCTGTACTTATACAATTAACGAACATGTAAAAACCGGATAAAAGCTACCTCAAGATAGGACGACATTTACATAATCTTGTTGAAATAAAGCATATGTTTTGAAATTGGTAGATTTTAGAGTCGCAGTTTATACATACGGTTCTTGAAATAAAAAATGTTTTTTTTATGAAATGGTTATATAAAATTGTTAAATTTTAATTTTGCAAAAAATGTTTCGATAATTATTGAATATCCCATATAAACACGATTTATGCAACAAACATGGCTGCTTTGTTTGAAGTCTTAGAAAACTTTTTGAATGAGGTCTGATTTGGGCGAAATGTTTGCTATTTATTTTTGTCTTTTAAAATAGGAAAGGAAGTACAATAGTTGAACACGAAATTGTCACAAATAAGACAGAAAAAGCACAACAAGACACTGCCTTGGCACTTGTTCGCCTGTCTAAGGGCGAGGACAAAGTTGAATATAATAATAAAAACCTTTCAACTGACTCAGTAACTGTAAAAGATAAAAGTGGGAACGTAAAAAGTGAGTAAAATACAGATGTAGAAAGAAAACAAAAGCATCCTGTTAAATTTATATTTGAAAAAAAAATACGAGGACCGAAGGCTATTCTTCGATCGTTTACTGAAAAGAATAACGATACCTTGTTATTTCAGACATAACATCTTCATTCTCTAAATGTGATGTTTATATAATTAACTTCCCGTGTGGTTCTGGAGAACAATGCATTGAGAGTGGAGATACCGTCTTCTGTTCGTATGTACCTTTTTTATATCTCTGTATGAATTGCTTCTCAGTTAAATTTTTATAATTCTTTTCCCATGACAACTGGTCTTTTCTCTGATGGTTTGCTTTGCTCATGATTTGTATTTTAGATGAACATCTGAGCTTACTGTTCTTGTTTTACCTATACTTCGTGTATTTTTATGTAATTTTTTTTTAATTTTAGGAAGATAGCCGATGACAGTGAGTATTTTTTTTACGATATCAAACTCAAAGAAGCAGATTTTTTACAAAAAAAAATATCTCTACGAATATGTAAAGATTCTTATGAAGTAAATCTTTAGTATCTTTGAAAAGTGCATACATGTATATTATATATATCCTTAATAGTTAAGTAGCCTGCTAAGTGATTGTTTTGTCAAATGATTTTATACAAATATGATTTTTGCATCTAGGAAATGTTTCTAGCATCACCTGAAATCCTTATTAAACCGTGACTTGTTTTTATCTATGTTTACCTAGTCGCTTGAAAGAGTGACTTGACGAATTGCTACAAAATTGAATCCTACAAAGATTCTGAGATAATCTTCAGCATTTTCTTATTCAAACGAATGTATTTGTTTGGTTCTTTTGGAATACAACATCAAAAATACAAAATAAATATAAACAAGTGTTGTTTCTTTGGAAAGATGACGAATTTAAGCTGATTGTTGGTCTTGGAGTTGGAATACCCCTCTTCTTCATCGCAGTTTTAATCCTTGCAATTATTTGTGTTTACTGGAGAAGACATAAAGATGATGATTCATCAAGTTTGTCTGAAGATGATTTTGGGTATGTCATGAAAACTAAAATAATTTTTTTAATATTGCATCGATTACTTAATACTGAATAAATAAGTGACAAAAATATTCATACAAAATCTCTATTCAACAAACCTCTTCTGGAGAAAAATTATGTGAAGTTTACACATAATGTGGAACATTCAATGGCATAATGGAAAACTACATCTTGATGCTTTGACTGTAAGCAATAAGTAGGAGGGCACAGGCTATTTATTTAAATCGGGTAATTTACTTTCAAGTTTGGGAGACTTAAATGTAAGCAGTCTTAGAGAAAAATGCATGTTCTCTCACCAAACGTTTAAAACAAAATTTTAACCGTAAAACTCGGTTATAAAGAAGTCACTGGACATATGAAATTACTTCGCTATATCCGTAATTCGTTAAAGAATTCGTTAAATTTATATACAGTAGCAGGGTATCCAAGATAACTTCGCTATAGATAGTTTTCGATGGACCCAAATTTAGCAAAAGTCACCTCCCGTTGGTCGCCATATTGGAGGTCGACTCGGTGAGTTTTCCTCTTTGTCTTACCAAGTTTAAGAAAATATAGCAGAAATATTTGGTGGAAAATCTTTATTAAATAATTTTTCTTAATAAAGGAGGCTTCCAAAAATTTATATACTTCAGAAAAATAATGATTCCTAATTCAAAATCGCAAATATAAAATTTAAAATTGGTTGAACAATGACGGAATATGTGCATATGAACCTCCAGTATGGCGGCGAACGGGAGCTAACTTTTGCTAAATTTAGGTCATATGAAAACTATCTATATCCGTGAATTCGCTATATCCATTCACCCAGACTTAAATTATATTCTCTGATAAGGTTGGTAACTTGCATGCTAACATAGTTTTCTTGCATGTTGACATTATTATCTTGAATGTTGACATATATTTCTTGCAACATAATTTATCTTGCAAATAGGGGGCATAAATATGCCACCATAGGTAAACATGTTGTAACATCGGTTTTAAGAAAAAATGTATGCGATTGAAAAATTACTTAGAACGCATCCCGTTATTGTTTGGTGTAGATTCAAGTTTGTTCATTTAATGGAACCTAGGGACAATGGAAGGGAAGGGAAGGGATACAGAATTTTAAAGAAAGACGTACGCAGAAAATGAAATCGAAGCTTATTTAAAAAAAACAGCTTAATATTTAAAAGCAAAGATGTATCTTAAAGATATTTAACTACAATAAAAATGTAAAACGATTGTTAAGACTCTTATTCATAATAAACGTTATGCTTATTATCCAATTTTCAAGAACAAACCTATAATTTTATCTAATCTATTTATAAGCAGAGTAATTATAACAGTAACATCACGAATCAATCGCGAGCAGGAAACAAAAAATGAACAAATTTACTTTCTTGAAGGAGACTTATCATCATCTGATTGATAAACGTACTTCTTTTTATAATTCATACACAGTAATTCAATACTTTTTTACTTTGTACCTTAAATTCATCACAGAGAGGGGTATGGTAGTCCAGGAAGCTACTTTCCTTCTGTAATACCAACGAAAATTGACAGCTGGGGTAGGCATGTATCGCCGTACTCTCCACATTACCTCTCGGATCATTCTACCATACAAGGAGGCAATCGAGTAGATGATGTCACGAACTACACAGAGCCATATTGTATGTATATACATCATTATAGGGGAAAATTCTGTCTTCTTTCTTTATGTATATGTATATGATAAAGTAATACTTGTATTTGTCTAAGATGTGCCGAATTAAAATACTTTTATTCTGGTCTGTTGAGAGAATTTAGTCAGAAACGATTTATGTCTCTTTGGGGAATGGGGATAATGATATTTTAAAATATGAAGTACAAAAAAGAATTTAAGGTGTACATGTGAAATTGAATTTTATGACAAAATTAAAATAGTTTTTATACTGAAAGGAAAAAGAAACGCAGGGTAAACTTTTGAGGTGAATTAAATTTATTTTTCTTTTTATATTTTTCAGTATTCCTATCAAATTTTTAAAACCATCTTTCAAAAAGATATAACCAAAATCCCATTTGATTTTTTTTTTCAATAATTAATGAGTTATTGAAGCTCACATGACGATACCCCCAAAAGTGAAATTCGAAAACTCTTATTGTCTTCAATGTCTCTCCCGCGCATCTGTCATGCCCCTTATTTCTCCTTTGTATGGAATTCATCAGAGTGTTTATTTTTCAATCACTGGCTATATTGGGCATGGGTAACCATGCTAAAAATTGGTCACACGACGCGCGCATGCGCCAGTGAGAGGAACACATCAGTAAGTTGACCGGCTCACAAAACCAAATTGCGGAATTGTTTCTTTCATTTTTCGTGTGAACGTAATAATTATGATAGAGTACTGTATAAAAGGCGGTTTTGGGGGTAGTAAGGTGGCGATTTAAGAGATGACAGGACGAATAACCCGCTCGTAACATGACTCTGTTTCGCGTAAACTTCATCGTCAGGGTTGATTGAAAACAGTTCCAGGCCCTCTCTGACAACGGGTAACAAGTTTTATGGGGGAAAATTTACAAGAAACTGCTTAGTTACCCGTTGTTGCCTTTTTCATTAATTAGGCAATTCGAAAATCAAACCCTATCGAACTTCCGTAAACTGCACCAAGATTACAAGAAATTCATATCCTCTTTAAATATTGAAAAACAATGTGCATACCTCAGGTGCATCAAATGGTGCAACAAGATTTGTTGACAAACTCGTCGTCATCAAATTGCACGTGTTTTGGGATTTTTAGCGTTTTCCCTTATGTGACGTCATACATTTTACGGTTGAGTAATTCTGAACACTAATTTCGGTCCATAATAACTAAGTTTCTCATCTGACCAATTTTCGTAATTTTCGGTCAAGCGGTCAAAATTTTTTCGAATAATAAGCTACCCTGCGTTTCTTTTTCCTTACAGTATATTAGGAAGTTGTTCATATAGATCAGTTTTAGTTTATGTTTTAGATTTTATATTCTTTGCTACTTCATTGAAATATTTAATTATCCGCATCTGATTTACAACGCTTCTCACTTCTCAGATACTGTATGTGTACTTATAAAAGCGGGCTTAATATTTTAGCGGGATTGGCGCAGACAGCGATGTGCTAATTCATGATTACCGTTAATAAATGAATACGATACGATGTTTCATGCTTAATGTATTTTTTTTCCAAATTCACTATTGGCCATCAATTTTAATTTTAAATGGGTAATTGTCACTTGTCACTTGGACCATTCAGTTCAATTGTGTCGACCGACATACGCTCTATTGGTGAACACCGTATTTGTTTTAATTACTATTAAACGGTAATTAAATGCTCAACCCCCAAACTACGACCGCACAATAAATACCTTAAGGCTATTTTCAGCCAGTTGGAAACGTTAATGGAACAACAATAATCAAATACGATGTTTCAAAATTATTTAGAGTAAGATATTAAAATTTTACCTAAACTCAAAGACAATTTTTTTAGCGCTGCATGTGTAGCGCTAGTTCATTACTTCGCCAACCACTCCACACGATGATTGCGCTCAATTTTGAATATACTAATTTTTCTACATATACAGTATGTTGCTGCCCTGTACAACTGATGGTTGTCCTTTATTGATATTGATGTTTGTTGAAGAATAAGAAAATGGTTTTATTATACTTCATTTTAAATGTTCTACAAACGCGTTATCTGACTGGTTCTAGGTTATCACGTGATCGGGCCGTAAAACTTCATATTTCACGGTCGTCGGCATTGTTTTTCATAATAATTGTTTTAATCACTAGTAAACTCGTTCATCGAAATTAAATGTTCATAATAGCCTTGTTTACGTCATAAAATTGATGACAATGTGTTGAACAAAGTGTTTTATAGTAACTTTACGTAAAAAATGAAAGTGAATTTGAGAGCGGTGCCGAATTTGAAAGTTTATGTTTATTTCAAAGGTTTTGCTTGTTTTGGTATAATAAACAAATTTGCATGAATGCGGGAACAAAGTATGTTGCTGCCCTGTACAACTGATCGTTTTCTTTTAATGTTATGATATTGATGTTTGTTGAAGAATGTGAAAACCATTTAGAAAACCCGCTATGTATGTTTCTTTTAAGTTATTTTTCATTGAAAGATTTTTTTTTGTTTCAGTTTATGACAATGGCGAGAAATCAAATTTTTCTTGGGATTTCATGTTCCAGTCTTTACACCCCAATGAAAAGGTAAGCATTTTAAAAATCATTTACCAAAACCGTATTAATCGTGTTGACAGCAGAAAATCGTTATGCTATTAACTTTGGTATGCTAATTTATTCATAAGTATGAAAATACGAGACACAGGATTTTCCGATAGAATGACCAAAACTCTTTTTATGATCGATGCTGAAAATTATTCAAACTCAGTTTAATGATCATCTTATTAGGAATCGATAACTTACTGTATTTTATTTCTTGATCGGTTTAACTTGTTAGATTACAGATTTTTGGAATGACTTGACAATTTTAACAACTCATGTATGTTAGTGAACGTTTTCTGATAGGACTTAAAAAAGTAAAAATTTAGATAGTAAATCAAAGTTCCAATTTTTTTTTACTTTGGTACTATAGTTAATTATAGTAAACTGTAGTTAACTATATTTACTATAATATTTTTTGTCAGGGTACATGTACCCCATGTTAAACTTAAATGCTCCTCCTTATCAAAATACATGTTTTGATCAACCTCGGTTTCAATGTAGTGAAATATTCACTTGAATAAGAACCTACTGTATATTAGCCATGAAATGTTACTCGTGTTTGAACGAATTGATGCATCACATAATTATTAGCAATTAAATCTTTGCCAATGTTTTCTTTTAGTTTCAAATAAGGAGGCCTGGAATAAGATCTCAACCGTTAAAAACTGAGGTAAGAAAAAGGAGAATCTTAATATTCTAGTAACTTTTATTCTGAAACAATAAAGAGCATTTGTTTTATTTTTAAAAATTTCATTTGATTTTTATTTAACTTAAATAAAAATTGATGAGGAGTTTTTGTTTTTTTAAAATCAGAAATAAAATTATTAAAAGGATTAGATTAATCTTACAAAATGTTTTTAAACGCAAAATGTAGCAATGTATCAAATCAGCTGAGAGAGAGAGAGAGAGAGAGAGAGAGAGAGAGAGAGAGAGAGAGAGAGCGCGAGAGAGAGAGAGAGAGAGAGAGGTTAGCTGACCATTTTGATATGAATCTTCCTTAACATGTTTTTTTTAAACAATGAAAATGTAAGAGGGCACAGGCTTGGCTACATCAAAGTATTATTAAAAAATTAAGAATAGTCAAACACATAAGTTCAAGTATATTATTCAATATGATTTATAATTATATATTTTTTTCTTTCTTTTTTCACAGTGATATTTCAAGAAATCAATGTTTGTGCTGTGTTCATCGGTGTTTTAATGTGCCATAGATTGTCATTATTTATCACACACATTCATCGAGTGAATAAAGCTGGGTATAGCAGGATTTACATCATTAATTACGAATTTCTGAAGTTCTTTATAAAATGATCGTCAGGCATTACGTAGTCAGAATAAAAATCATTTGAATGATTGTTTGAAGGAAAAATGCATTTAGTTATATGGGTGTGTATATGTATGTATGTATGTGTGTAGATATAAAAGCAGCAATGATGTTTTATAATTTTGACAATTCAATTTGAATCCTGACTTAAAGCATTATACAGTAATGTCTTTCTGGTGGCTGATTTATATATAACCATGTATACATTATCGAAAAAGCATCACCTTGATATATATATTATATATATATATATATATATATATATATATATATATATATATATATATATATATATATATATATATATATATATATATATAGATATATATATATATATAGAAAATATTATTGAATATATAAAGCACAACTTGTTTGATTGGAGCATAATTATATTTTTGGATGCATGCAATTATGTTACACTCATAATCAGTTTCTCTTTTTAAAGCAATAAACAATTTTATCGTGTGTTCTTTTTTAGCTCATAATAAAATTATAATCAATTCAAAAAGCACAACTTGTTTGAATTGAGAAAAAAGAAGCATAATTATATTTTTGGATGCATGCAATTATGTTACACTCATAATCAGTTTCTCTTTTTAAAGCAATAAACAATTTTATCGTGTGTTCTTTTTAGCTCATAATAAAATTATATTGTTCATAATATATTTTATACAATATATAATATATTTACTCTTTATATATCTTTGTAAATGTACATTTAGTTATCTTACCTTTGTAATTAAATTGTTATTTTTTTTAGTTTTGGTGTTATTTTTTAGAAAAAAAATGCAAAATGCTGTTTTTAATCATTTTTGAAATACCTGTATCATCATCTTGTCTCTACATTGCTTAAAAAGTAATCTTTCTCGGAACATTCTGAAAACAGAATATTACGACACAAATAAGAAAAACTGACACAGAGAAGTTGAGATAACCTCGTTTATTAAACACTTTTTTAATGTTAGTTGTCCTTTATCGTATATTGTCAATAAAAATCCAAAAATGAAAACGGAATAGTTTTTACTAAATTAACTGGAATATAAAGTTGACATGGAAAGAGAATTATATATATTGATAAATAAATATTATAATACAGTGCCACGGCTAAAGTATCACACCACCGCCCAATTGTAGTCTCCATTTCCTCCCTATAAAACTCCAAATTACCGTCATGCTAAACGTAAATCAAAAGGTCTTAAAGTCATACATTTCTGTGTGTAAACATTTTCGGGCGATATCTCAAGAAGCTTTTTGTGATGAAAGGACAAGATAGGGTAAGACCCGTTTTTGGCCCCTGATTTTAGATGTCTTTCAGATTGATGCAACGGTTTATCCATAGAAACCTGTTTTCATCCCTGATACAAGATGAGTATTGGTTCTTTAATGTTTTAAAATACACAGAGGTCACAGATAGAGAAGTCATAAAATAGGTCATTTTTCGAATTTTCCAAATTTTAAGCAAATTTTCATTAATTTTACAGCACATTTTGTTTTGGAAAAATAGAGTACAAGTTTGTCTTTCTACCAAATTTATATATTCTATCATTTTTTTATCAGATGCAGTTTATGTGTAAAAATGTTTTCTAAAGAGAAAAGTATCTCAAATATGACGAAACTCTACTAGAATTGAGGAATTCTTCACAGATTCTCTTAATTAGCTTGTTGCATACCAATAAGGTTCTTGCGTATTTGAAGGAATTCTTGATTTTCTGACGTTGATTGTCTCTCTCATAGGATTTTTTAAAAATGAGAAAAATCACCCAAAATACTAGTATATACCAATAAACCCTTTATCTTATATAAAGGAAAAATTAAAAATGTATATACGGATTTCAAACAAACCTTTTATCTTACACATTTTTAAAGAAGCTTTTATATTAAAAATTGTTATAATCTGAATTCGGATTTTACCGTATTTCAAACAGACAAAAAATGATAAAACAGGGGATGCTCACTCCTCCATGGAAACTGATCCAGTCTCTGGTGTTTCGGAGGTCCGTGTTTGATCTGCTCTTATTTTGTACGTTTAAGAGAGTATTTTTAATTGATTCCTTTTATGTCAACACGGATATTTTGTTACTTTAGAATTTTAGAAGTACATCACGAGGTAATGTTGTTCAATAAATTATATCAAAAATAGAATTTGCATTATGTTGACTTAAATTAACAATACTATTTGTATTTTTGTTTCATCGGCTTTTTTACCAAATTTAGCTTTCGCCGCTTTGAAATTGGTCATACATATACATAGAACTTGGCCTTGCATATAGAATCCTTTTGGAAATAAACACTTAGGACAGTCGAGAATGGGTACAAAATGCAAGTTCAACTAACGATAGGAGAATTAAAGAAATCACTTTTATCAAAATTTGTTGCTGCTAGATTAAACTATTTTTTTGTAAATTATCCGATTATGATACTAATGTACTATAATCTGTATTCTACCACGATTAATGCCGAGATCAGTAAATCACGAACTTCTTCAAAAAATTATCAGATCAGAAACACGTTTCAAACCTTTAAAATTGAAAATTCATGTTTAGCAGTAGAATGAAAGACTTGTTTTGACCACATCAATGTGTCGTCTTTTGCATTACAAACACTGTAAATTGCATAAAGTTGTTAATGAATGTTGTATTTTACTTAAATCAATCAATACATATTACGAACATTTTTGTAATTTAAAAAGGCTATTTTTAATCATGAACTGCATCCCATTCATATAGGAATTGGTGTTAAATGGAACAGCGTGATCGAGAAATGGTGACTAACGTTTTCTATAGAGGAATGATAACCTGTACAATTGAAATGCATGTTACCTCCTGTAAAATGTTTTAAATATACTTGTTTAGATCACAACGATGTGTCGTCAGAGGTTTTGCATTATAAACACTGTAAATTTCAGTTCAAAAGAATTTTTCATATAAACGTAGGATAGACAATATATAATTATTGTTGATAAAAAAAGAATGGAAATGTTTAAACGTTGAATTCAAAGCTAAAGCAGGAGACAACTTTTTAGAAGTTTTCTTAACCTTAAATATATATCCATGGAGCAATATATATTAATGGAAATGTTAGAGGAATTGATCTCCTCATTCTATACATAGATATTTTCAATTATATATCTCAGTACCTCTTTTAATATATACAGAATACTTTTAAGTGTGCAAACAAGACGTTTTAAAAAAAAAAGTTTGCATATGCACAATGACAGAATGGGAAAATAATGAGCTTATAATGTTATTAACCAAGTGGTTTGGAAAGAAAGGATAATTATGTTATTAAAAATTCAAATTGAACTTCTGAAAAATGTTATTTTAATTCTAGATTTTTTTAGCAGGCAGACATATTTTTGTGTTCATATAAAGCATGATGGTTTTAAACTTAACTAAACTTATATATGAGGCATAGAAAACAATTGTTGTGGCCTTCAACTTGACATTTGGATATATAACGACGACGTATATCCATTTAAAGAGATTGAATCCTGATATAAAAAAGTGTTGAAGATTTTTTTGTCAAGTATATTTTTAGAATCTACACACATGGCTTATTAAAAATTATATCAAAAATGGGTCAGTGCACTTCATTTAGCTCTAAAGGTTAATGACATATTTGCACTATAATTACGGCTAACACGTAAATCAATTCTTAAAAGTTTTTCCTTTAATAATCTTTATGGAAATGAATTACTGGAACAAACTCAGTCTTATTTTCATTTTGAATAGTCACATTAAAATGTGTGAAAACAAAAGGTTTAACGTTATTGCGCACAGTCAATTATTTGATCTTTTTATACTCTAAAAATGCTATTTTTCTGGCGTTAAAAAATGTAAAAACAATAAAATCATCTGAAAGTAAGGTCATTTTATCTTAATTCAAGCATAATGGTCAAAATTATCTTGTATGGTAGGAAAATGAAATATAAAGAAAGGGTTTGTGATGTTAAGTTTTAGATGTTACTAAATGAGTGCTAATTTTTAGTGAAATTATAATTGATATATTTTCCAAATATAATGATAGAAGTAATGTCAGTTAATTTAATATATAATTATAAACCTAAATTATTTCACTGCACAAAATTACACAGTTTGTAGGTTGCTTGTAAAAAATATGAATCCAAACTTAACAATGCTGAATAATTCAAATGAGAAAAAAATAAATGTGATGACGTCAACTTTTCTATCGTCAACTTCCCTTACTTATGCAGCAATATACCTTCATCACCTAAATACGGAGTTTATATACCTCAGTTGATTTGATAAGCAAGAGCATGCTCTTTGTATGAACAATTTCTAAAACGAGGTAAATTATTGACAAACAAGTTGATGAAACAAGAATTTCAGCAGTCTCGGTTAAAGTCATCATTTCGTAAGTTCTTTGCTCGATACAATGGCCTTGTCAGCAAATACAATTTATCATTGAGTCAAATGCGGCCTGGCGTTTTTCATACCAATTGTTAGTCCATTATTCATTTAAATGAATTGACCACGGATTTATCCGTTGTTTCACGAACATGACAGGAAGCACAAGTCGGATGTGACCGTTCGGCAGGGGATGCTCACTCCTCCGTGGCACTTGACCCCACCTCTGATGTTTAAGAAGTCCCTGTTTGCTCTCCACCTATTTTGTATTGTTTTATGCACTTTTGATCTTGAATGCTGTTCGTTATCTCCATATGTTTCATTCCCAACTAAAAAATCCTACCGACACAAAATATAGTTTGTGGTATGGCATTTGACCATGGATTTTTAATTGAATATAGTGTAATTAGCATTACAGAATCCAAATTTATTATAGGAACTAATTTAAAACATTATGTAGATTTGTTTAAATAGAAGACAAAAATTTGCTCAAAAGCTGAGGAGCGAACCCCTTTAACAATAGTTATTACCATTCGTATGTCGACACGATATATACATGTACCAGTGAGCTTAGTATAAAAAATATCACAACATCTGACACATGTGTTTAATATTTGGATTTTGTTTTTTGCTTACCCAACGACAAATTTTTGTAACTTCAAATTTTTTAACTGTTGACTTCCATCACTAATTAAGCAATATACCCTTTGCACCTGGATACGGGGATTATACATGCTTCTTTCAGTTTCTAGATACGAAATAGCATGCTCTAGGTACAAACAATTTCTAGAGCGAAGTGATTATTTTGCCAGGAATATCGACAGTATAGTCTGAAATCATCATTTCTCAAGTT